TTCTGAGAGAAGCCACATTGTGGTATCCCTATATGTCATTGATTGAATTGGAGTCTTAATGTCAAGCATATTGGCACATTATTCCAATGCATCTCAGTCAAAAGGCAGTGTCCATTTTAAAAACCCTCCCTTACGAAAAAAGATTGCAGTTAGAGTGCAGTATGCTGCAAATACTGCGTGCAAACTTTTTTTTTACAGCAGTCATTTTGCAGTGTAACTGCAGTTAGAGTGCAGAAGCACTGCAGTACACTGCAGTTATTCAGCAATGACTTAGTCCAAAATACCACAGTCGACTGCAGTTACAAAACTGCAATCTTTTTTTGTAAGGGCTGCTGTCACTAAGGTGAATGGCCAGAGAAAAGGGAAAAAACGAAGGCACAGATCCATGCTACCATGCACACGACTAAGGCCTCACTCGTTGGAGGGACGTCACGCACAAACGTTATGTACAATGGGATCGTTATGCACAGTGCATTCGGAAAGTATACAGACCCCTTGACTTTTTCCACATTTTGTTACATTACAGCCTTATTCTAAAATTGATGAAATACAATTTTCCCTCATCAATCTACACACATGGGAGAACCTTGCAGAAGGACAAGCATCTCTGCAGCACTCCACCAATTTAGGCCTTTATGGTAGAGTGGCCAGACAGAAGCCTCTCCTCAGTAAAAGGCACATGACAGCCCGCTTGGAGTTTGCCAAAAGGCACCCAAAGGACTCTCAGACCATGAGAAACAAGATTCTCTGGTCTGATGAAACCAAGATTGAACTCTTTGGCCTGAATGCCAAGCGTCACGTCTGGAGGAAACCTGGCACCATCCCTACGGTGAAGCATGGTGGTTGCAGCATCATGTTGTGGGGATGTTTTTCAGCAGCAGGGACTGGGAGACTAGTCAGGATCGAAGGAAAGATGAACGGAGCAAAGTACAGAGAGATCCTTGATGAAAACCTGCTCCAGTGCTCAGGACCTCAGACTGGGGTGAAGGTTCACCTTCCACCAGGACAACGACCCTAAGCACACAGCCAAGACAACACAGGAGTGAGAATGGCGCCGGAGGGGATGGCTGCAGTTTTATGGACTCTTAACCAAACGTGCTATTTTGTTTGTTTTTTCGCATTGTTTGTAACTTAGTTTGTACATAATGTTGCTGCTACCGTCTCTTATGACCGAAAAGAGCTTCTGGACATCAGAACAGCAATTACTCACCTTGAACTGGACGAATAATTTTTCTTTAATGAGTCGGACTAGAGGGATTTGCTCCAGACACCAGACAGGGCCCTCATCCCAGTCATTCACAGTAGAAAGAAAAGGAGATATTGCGGAAGGAGATCAGGATGCCTGGTAAGGAGCCGGCGACGAGTGGCTAATCTGCCTTTGCCATCGATACTATTGGCCAATGTACAATCGCTTGATAATAAAGTGGATGAACTACAAGCACGTATATCCTACCAACGGGACATTAAAAACGGTATTATCTTGTTTCACCGAGTCGTGGCTGAACGACGACATGAATAACATACAGCTGGCGGGTTATACACTGTATCGGCAGGATAGAACAGCAGCCTCTGGTAAGACAAGGGGTGGCGGTCTATGTATATTTGTAAACAACAGCTGGTGCACGATATCTAAGGAAGTCTCAAGGTTTTGCTAGCCTGAGGTAGAGTATCTCATGATAAGCTGTAGACCACACTATCTACCAAGAGAGTTTTCATCTCTATCCGTTGCCGATGTGAGTAAGACCTTTAAACAGGTCAACATTCAGACGGATTACCAGGACGTGTACTCTGAGCATGCGCTGACCAACTGGCAAGTGTCTTCACTGACATTTTCAACCTCTCCCTGTCTGAGTCTGTAATACCAACATGTGTCAAGCAGACCACCATAGTCCCTGTGCCCAAGAACACTAAAGGTAACCTGCCTAAATGACTACCGACCCGTAGCACTCACGTCTGTAGCCATGAAGTGCTTTGAAAGGCTGGTCATGGCTCACATCAACACCATTATCCCAGAAACCCTAGACCCACTCCAATTTGCATACCGCCCCAACAGATCCACAGATGAAGCAATCTCTATTGCGCTCCACACTGACAAAAGGAACACCTATGTGAGAATGCTATTCATTGACTACAGCTCAGCGTTCAACACCATAGTGCCCTCAAAGCTTATCACTAAGCTAAGGACCCTGGGACTAAACACCTCCCTCTGCAACTGGATCCTGGACTTCCTGACGGGCCGCCCCCAGGTGGTAAGGGTAATAACACATCCGCCACGCTGATCCTCAACACGGGGGCCCCTCAGGGGTGCGTGCTCAGTCCCCTCCTGTACTCCCTGTTCACTCATGACTGCATGGCCAGGCACGACTCCAACACCATCATTAACTTTGCCGATGACACAACAGTGGTAGTCACTTTAATAACTCTACCTACAGTGGGGAGAACAAGTATTTGATACACTGCCGATTTTGCAGGTTTTCCTACTTACAAAGCATGTAGAGGTCTGTCATTTTTATCATAGGTACACTTTAACTGTGAGAGACGGAATCTAAAACAAAAATCCAGAAAATCACATTGTATGATTTTTAAGTAATTAATTTGCATTTTATTGCATGACATAAGTATTTGATCACCTACCAACCAGTAAGAATTCCGGCTCTCACAGACCTGTTAGTTTTTCTTTAAGAAGCCCTCCTGTTCTCCACTCATTACCTGTATAAAAGACACCTGTCCACACACTCAATCAAACAGACTCCAACCTCTCCACAATGGCCAAGACCAGAGAGCTGTGTAAGGACATCAGGGATAAAATTGTAGACCTGCACAAGGCTGGGATGGGCTACAGGACAATAGGCAAGCAGCTTGGTGAGAAGGCAACAACTGTTGCCGCAATTATTAGAAAATGGAAGAAGTTCAAGATGACGGTCAATCACCCTCGGTCTGGTGCTCCATGCAAGATCTCACCTCGTGGGGCGTCAATGATCATGAGGAAGGTGAGGGATCAGCCCAGAACTACACGGCAGGACCTGGTCAATGACCTGAAGAGAGCTGGGACCACAGTCTCAAAGAAAACCATTAGTAACACACTACGCCGTCATGGATTAAAATCCTGTAGCGCACGCAAGGTCCCCCTGCTCAAGCCAGCGCATGTCCAGGCCGATCTGAAGTTTTCCAGTGACCATCTGGATGATCCAGAGGAGGAATGGGAGAAGGTCATGTGGTCTGATGAGACAAAAATTGAGCTTTTTGGTCTAAACTCCACTCACCATGTTTGAAGGAAGAAGAAGGATGAGTACAACCCCAAGAACACCATCCCAACCGTGAAGCATGGAGGTGGAAACATCATTCTTTGGGGATGCTTTTCTGCAAAGGGGACAGGACGACTGCACCGTATTGAGGGGAGGATGGATGGGGCCATGTATCGTGAGATCTTGGCCAACAACCTCCTTCCCTCAGTAAGAGCATTGAAGATGGGTCGTGGCTGGGTCTTCCAGCATGACAACGACCCGAAACACACAGCCAGGGCAACTAAGGAGTGGCTCCGTAAGAAGCATCTCAAGGTCCTGGAGTGGCCTAGCCAGTCTCCAGACCTGAACCCAATAGAAAATCTTTGGAGGGAGCTGAAAGTCCGTATTGCCCAGCGACAGCCCCGAAACCTGAAGGATCTGGAGAAGGTCTGCATGGAGGAGTGTGCCAAAATCCCTGCTGCAGTGTGTGCAAACCTGGTCAAGACCTACAGGAAACGTATGATTACATGCTTTGTAAGTAGGAAAACCTGCAAAATCGGCAGTGTATCAAATACTTGTTCTCCCCACTGTATGTACATATTACCTTGACTAACCGGTGTCCCCGCACATTGACTCGGTACCGGTACCCCCTGTATATAGCCTCGCTATTGTTATTTTACTGCTGCTCTTTAATTATTTGTTACTTTTATTTCTTATAATTGTTTTTATTTCATGTATTTTTGGTATTTTTTTTGTATTCTTTCTTAAAACGCCATTGTTGGGTAAGGGCTTGTAAGTAAGCATTTCACTGTGTAGGGCGGCAGGTAGCTTAGTGGGTAAGAGCGTTGTGCCAGTAACCGAAAGGTCGCTGGTTCTAATCCCCGAGCCGACTAGGTGAAAAATCTGTCGATGTGCCATTAAGCAAGGCACTTAACCCTAATTGCTCATGTAAGTCGCTCTGGATAAGAGCGTCTGCTAAATAATGTAATGTATTTATTTACTGTAAGGTCTACACCTGTTGTATTCAGCGCATGTGACAAATACAATTCCATTTGATTATTTAAAAAAAAAAAATTTGGGGGGGGGGGGGGGGGGGGGACATTTCTCTGAATGTCCTTGAGTGGCCCAGTCAGAGCCCAGACTTGAACATCTCTGGAGAGAGCTGAAAATAGCTGTGCAGCAACGCTCCTCATCCAACCTGACAGAGCTTGAGAGGATCTGCAGAGAAGAATGGGAGAAACTCCCCAAATACAGGTGTGCCAAGCTTGTAACGTCATACCCAAGAAGACACAAGGCTGTAATTGCTGAAAAAGGTGCTTCAACAAAGTACGGAGTAAAGAGTCTGAATACTTGTGTAAATGTGACATTTCTTTTTTTTAAATATAAAATGTGCAAACATTTCTAAAAACCTGTTTTTACTTTGTCATCATGGGTTATTGTGTTTAGATTGATGAGGGGGAAAAACAATATAACTTTAAAATAAGGCTGTAACGTAACAATGTGGAAAAAGTAAAGGGGTCTGAATACTTTCCGAATGCACTGTACATGTGCCTTGTCTCAAGGTACTGTTTTATTAATAATTTCAAATTGAAATATATTGATATTTATTTATAAAATCACTGACTATAATAGTTTGGAAGACAACATAACACACAATACATTGTTTCTTAGAACAGTCCTATGACCTTAGAGTTAAAGTAAAACAATATCAAAAAAATCTCTGTTTAAAACACTTTTCAAGCTGCTGTATGCGTGTCCCCTCTCGTCTCATATACCCGTGGTGTCCCCATAGTCCTTGTTCCAGCGCACATACAGGCCCAGCGTCTGTGGTCCGACACTCCTCTTGATCTTCTTCAGTGACTCCACGAAATCAGAGAACCGGATATTCCTCACCTGCACAAGAGCACAGAACACTACGGTGATGAAGAGTGCAACAGCAGGGTTCATTCATTCACAGCAAACGGAAGAAAACAGACAAACTATGAGGGAACACCTGAACCTGTCCAATGAGAAGCACTCGTTTTCTGTAGAAAAAAAAGTTTAGCTATTATTATTTATTCTCGCCCTGGCATGTTTACCGACCGACAGATCATTCGAAAATAAAATTACAAAATGTAGATAGTTTATTTTGATTGTACAAATGTGGCATAAGTGTCGGGAGAAAAAGTTTTGCTATATGGCGCAAGCGAATTAGCCTTTCTTCATCAAAATCTGTGTCTGGAATAAATGCAGGCAGTAGTAGCCAGCCATGCATTAGGATATTTATTAGCCTATTTCGTTGATAATGGAATAGGACTGAGTAAGTAAATCATGTGCATTTTCATCTGTCGGGGTCGTTTACCATTGAACATTGTGTGTGAATGAGTGAAGGAACATAACCATGCGCTTTGAGAGTGATAGTGCAGTAGTAGATCCAATTACAAGTATCAAGTGTGATAAAATGGATCCGAGTATAATGAGATACTCTTACCCTAGACACACTACAGATTGCATACTGCCCCAACAGATCCACGGACGACACAATCGCCATTGCACTGCACACTGCCCTATCCCACCTGTATAAGAGGAACACCTACATTGCATTCGGAAAGTATTCAGACCCCTTGACTTTATCCACATTTTGTTACGTTACAGCCTTATTTTAAAATGGATTATAAAAATTCCCTCAATCTACACACAATACCCCATAATAACAAAGCAAAAACATAAAAAAAAAAAAATGTATTACAAATAAAAAATGAACCTTATTTACATAAGTATTCAGACCCTTTGCTATGAGACTCGAAATTGAGCTCAGGTGCATCCTGTTTCCATTGATCATCCTTGAAATGTTTCTACAACTTGATTGGATTCCAGCTGTGGTAAATTCAATTGATTGGACATGATTTGGAAAGGCACACACCTGTCTATATAAAAGTCCCACAGTTGACAGTGCATGTCAGAGCAAAAACCAAGCCATGAGGTCGAAGGAATTGTCCGTAGAGCTCAGAGACAGGATTGTGTCGAGGCACAGATCTGGGGAATGGTACCAAAACATTTCTGCAGCATTGAAGGTCCCCAAGAACATAATTCTTAAATTGAAGAAGTTTGGAACCACCAAGACTCTTCCTAGAGCTGGCCGACCGGCCAAACTGATCAATTGCAGGAGAAGGGCCTTGATCAGTTAGGTGCCTAAGGACCTGATGGTCACCCTGACAGCGCTCTAGAGTTCCTCTGTGGAGAAGGGAGAACCTTCCAGAAGGACAAGCATCTCTGCAGCACTCCAGCAATCAGGCCTTTATGGTAGAGTTGCCAGACGGAAGCCTCTTCTTAGTAAAAGGCACATGACAGCCCACTTGGAGAAACAACATTCTCTGGTCTGATGAAACCAAGATTGAACTCTTTGGCCTGAATGCCAAGCGTCACATCTGGAGGAAACCTGGCACCATCCCTATGGTGAAGCATGGTAGTTGCAGCATCATGCTGTGGGGATGTTTTTCAGCAGTAGGGACTGGGAGACTAGTCAGGGTCGAGGGAAAGATGAACGGAGCAAAGTACAGAGAGATCCTTGATGAAAACCTGCTCCAGAGCGCTCAGGACCTCAGACTGGGGTGAAGGTTCACCTTCCAACAGGACAACGACCCTAAGCACACAGCCAAGATAACACAGGAGTGGCTTCGGGACAAGTCTCTGAATGTCCTTGAGTGGCCCAGCCAGAGCCTGGACTTGATTACCAACAACGACGAGACAGCCTACAGGGAGGAGGTGAGTGCCTTGGCAGAGTGGTGCCAGGAAAATAACCCCTCCCTCAACGTCAACAAAACGAAGGAGCTGATCGTGGACTACAGGAGACAGCAGAGAGAGCACGCCCATCCACATCAACGGGGCAGCAGTGGAGAAGATCAAAAGCTTCAAGTTCCTCTGCGTGCACATCACTGATGACCTGAAATGGTCCATTCACACAGACAGTGTGGTGAAGAAGGCACAACAGCGCCTCTTCAACCTCAGGAGGCTGAACAAATATGTCTTAGCCAAATATTACATTTGTTATTTTTCCTGTGAAGATCATTGCGTTGCATTCCATGTCTGAAATGTGCTGTATAAATAAAGCTTGATTTGATTTGATTTGATAGTGTTTTACCCACTTTATTTGTAGTCATAGTTCATCCTATATAGTGTAACTACTGCTATACACACCTTTTCTATTCCCATACTGTCCATACACACCATTCACATACATATATATTGATTATATTCCGGACTCAGGTTCAGAAGCTAATTTCCAAAAATTCTATCAATTTTGCCATGGGGTTTTGTACTGTGTAAATATATAGTGTATTCTCGACATAGCTCATTCTAATATTTCTACAACTGTACATTGCATTTTAGTTACACTGTTTATACACACTGCATATTTATTTATATACTGGATTCTTGACATAGCCCACTCTAATACAGCGGTACCCAAACTAGGGGTCGCAACCCCATTTCCACAGTAAATGGCTAGGCCCGCTATACTATGAAATCACACACTACTGCAGAGACTTTGATATTACCGGCCGCAATTGATATGGTGAAAACAAGAGTCTTTCAAAAGTGAACCACGCCCCCTTCCTTCGGCTGTACATGTTTCTAACAGAAAACAGCATCAGTAACTGTCCCACACGAGTGATGACTGCTCACCTCCAACGCTTAGAAGAGCACTATGGGACCTACTTCCCAATCCGTTTGACTGTGATCCTGGCTCAGTTGACATGCTGGTAAGTGAAATCGAACAGCTGATTGAGCGGTCATGTGACCGAACGCATTCACGGGCCACTACGGAGGAGTTTTGGTCTCCCTCTGAGCATTAATGCCGTGTTCAAAACAACTTGGAAATCTCTGACTTCTGATTTCAGTGTATTCAAGACAACTGGGAACTCTGAAAAAAAACGAGCTCCGACAGGGAAAAATCTATTTGAACGGTCATCCAACTCGGAATTCCAACTCGGGAACTTCTAGAGCTCCGACATCCTGACCTGAAGATCACTGACGTCATGATTTGACCTCGTATTTTTCCTGAGTTCCCAGTTGTCATGGTACCCTTCGCCAGCTCATATCTGTGGCTGGATTCAGTGCTCTCGTCTGCATTAAAACCAAATATCGATCCAGGTTGGATGTGACAGCAGAGATGAGGTGCGCACTGTCGACCAAGCCCCTTTACTTTGAGAAGTTCAGACGCGACATGTATCAAGCACACCCATCTCATTAGTGGTGGTGAGATATGATACATTATGTCACACCAATTTGCAATTGACTGTCATAGCCCGACAATAAAAGTATGTGATGGTGAGTTGAGAAGACAAATCAGAAATACTGTTAATGTTTTTTCAATTGACTGCCATAGCCCAAATAAAAAAAGTAAACATTGGCTGTTATTTACATAATTTTTTTCACATGGTTGGGGTCACAAGAGTTTTCAGATATCAAAATGGGGTCGTGGGCCAAAAAGGTTTGGAAACGCCTGCTCTAATATAACTAATAGTGTAAATATCATTCCTAGTATATCTTTTGTAAATGTATCTGGTGTAGATATGTATAGATTCCATTTGGATTACTGTTACAGTGCTATTTGCATTGTTAATTGGATTTGTTCTGACATTTCTTCATTTCTTTATTTTAACTTTTGGGATTATGTGTGTATTGTTTTGTATTGCTAGGTATTACTGCAATACAGTTACTGTTGGAGCTAGAAACACAAGCATTTCGCTGCACCTGCGATAACATCTGAAAATCTGTGTACGCAACTTTAATTTGATATGTTTTTACAATTCCAATTCAAAAAGTCTAAACAGTCTAATTCCAATTCCATAACATTAAGATTTTTTTACATTTGAATTTAATTCAATGTCAATTCTCAAATTCATGAGTGAATTCAATAATTTTTATTTCAAATTAAATTGGAATTGACCCCAACCCTGGTAGATACCCTTTAATTCAAGTGAGCACCAGAAAGATACTTGTTGGTTAGCAGTGTTTCTGTAGTGCACATGTGATTGCAGTTTGCTAACAAATCGCCACTGCATTGATGCAAATAATCATGATGTCATTCTGCCAGGTAGGCATAGGCTTCTTTGTAGTTAACATTTAATTGAGAAGGTTTTTGGGAAAGCATTATCATTAGCATCATCGCTAACGGCTACACAAATTAGACAAACGCGCACACACAGACAGGGGCATTCCTGATGCATTTTGTTAATGTTTTATGAATTAATACAAGTTCAATACATTTTTGAATATTGTTGAATTCCATTTTTAAATGTTTGGATTCCGTGATACCGCCCCCGTTCTCCGCATCGCAGATTTTATAGGGCCCTAGATAAGTGTGTTTTTGATTAAAATTAAGGCGTTGGCAAAAAAAATTTACGTGAAATTTGGCTATAGGAACAGTAGAGTTTGTGGCTAAATGTATTGTAATTTAGGTGGAATGAGAACATCTCTACCAGCCCAGGAAAAACCTCCAAAACCCAGGCCAATGTCCCTGATGAAGTGGCATTCTGCTTATTAAAGAAACACACAAAACACAGCCTCTGTGTTTTTTACAATCTGCCAAGCAAGACTACCAAAAGACCAAAAACTAAAACATGTGAAAAACAAGCATATTCCTCTCCTACTCATTACTTTAAGAAAGGACAACGTGCAAAATACAATTCTGCATTATAAAAACAAACTAAAAAACACAAGCATAAAAAAAAAGGTATTATAATTTAGAGTAGCAATACCCCGCCTTAAATCTTTGGATCGATTCAATGCAATTCAATCTATGAGGACTGCAACCATAGACATAAAACCGCTATATTTAGCAAGTCTTGAGACCTCTCCAATTACTTTTATTGGTAAAAAAGCCTAGCGACAAATTCAGCTACTTTCAAGCTGCCTTGGAGAGTTTTGCACATAGAATTAGGAATTAGAATAGTAATTTAAAGCTGCAATATGTAACTTTTTGGACGACCTGACCAAATTCACATAGAAATGTGTGTTATAGATCTGTCATTCTCATTGAAAGCAAGTCTAAGAAGCGGTAGATTCTGCATAGTGCATCTTTAATAGGGATCACTATGGTTTTGCCACCAATGGTTTTGCCAGCATCTAGTGACTTTTTCCACTCACAGCAACAACGCACACACAGGCAGGGAGGGGGTGTGCTGCGGGCGAGGGGGCGTAAATGCTAAGCTCGGTACCGTAACTGTGCCGCAGCAAAGCAAATTTGTGCTTTGACGTCGATGCGGCAACAGCAAAACGTAATCTAGCAACAAATCAAGCAGCCAACAGCAATTCTCACAAAAAAATGTGTTGCCAACACTGTTCATGCTACTAATAACCCATGCAGACCTGGGCAGAAAATAGTTATATTTTGTAGTTTATTTTAAAATACAAACTTTTCAAATACTCGAGGAAGTCAAATATAGTTTATATAGAGCAGTTGTCACTAACCACTGTAAAAAAATGAATATGTAAAACAACAACGATAAAGGCCTTTTTATATATTTTTCAGTTTAGCGCTGTTGGCGGTTGGTGGACTTGATTCAGCAGCCCTAGCACCGGGAAGGCAAAGTGTTCCCATTTTGAACCATTTCATGTGTCTCAAGGTAGACCTCCGCATACCCGGCAGGCCCAGAGAGCAAATCAAGTGCACCTATAGGCCTACCACTGGCCAATCAGATAGCTCAGATCATCGTGTCTGGCAATTTCCTCGAGCCATAGGCTGTAAAAAAGAAGCCTCAGCAAAGTTGATAAAGTGATATTTCAAAAATGTTAAAACTATGACTAGAGATTGACTCAATGAATACTGCAAAGAGCTGCTGTTTTTATGAGTTAATGTTTAAGTTGTTATTCAGCACTTTGTTCAACACTTTAAGCCATAAAATCCACGTTCTCCCTACTTCCACTCATGCTACAACCAGCACTGCAGCTGCAATGAGTGAGTATAGCAAAGTGTTTCACCAGGCGATGATGCAACCAGTCAGGATGCTCTCAATGATGCAGCTGTAGAACCTTTTGAGGATCTGAGGACCCATGCCAAATCTTTTCAGTCTCCTGAGGGGGAATAGGCTCTGTCGTGCCCTCTTCAAGACTGACATGGTGTGTTTGGACCATGATAATTTGTTGGTGATGTGGACACCAAGGAACTTGAAGCCCTCAACCTAATCCACTACAGCCCGTCGATGAGAATGGGGGCGTGCTCAGTCCTCCTGTAGTCCACAATCATCTCCTTTGTCTTGATCACGTTGAGGGAGAGGTTGTTAACCTGGCACCACACAGCCAAGTCTCTGACCTGTCTCTCCCTATAGGCTGTCTCATCATTGTCGGTGATCAGGTCTACCACTGTTGTGTTGTCGGCAAACTTAATGATGGTGTTGGAGTCGTGCTTGGCCATGCAGTCATGGGTGAACAGGGAGTACAGGAGGGGACTGAGCACGCACCCCTGAGGGGCCCCATTGTTGAGGATCAGCGTGGCAGATGTGTTGTTACCTACCCTTACCACCTGGGGCGGCCTGTCAGGAAGTCCAGGATCCAGTTGCAGAGGGAGGTGTTTAGTCCCTGGGTCCTTAGCTTAGTGATGAGCTTTAAGGGCACTATGGTGTTGAACGCTGAGCTGTAGTCAATGAATAGCATTCTCATGTAGGTGTTCCTTTTGTCCAGGTGGGAAAGGGCAGTGTGGAGTGCAATAGAGATTGCATCATCTGTGGATATGTTGGGGCGGTATGCAAATTGGATTCTGGGATAATGGTGTTGATGTGAGCCATGACCAGCCTTTCAAAGCACTTCAAAGCATATTCATAATATAGCTAACTTAGCTAGTGAACATACAGAGAAAACAAGTTATAATTAACTGGCTAGCTAATTAGCGTTAGCAGTGTTTTCAATGGTGGCAAGTGCAGCTAGCTAACCAGCTAGCAAACAATGGAACAAAAGTATAATTTTGGATTCGAAAACTAGTCCAACAGGCTCTGCATTTCAGGAATCACCCCTGGTGCACTGATCAATTATTTAGCCATTTAAACCATTCATTTTTTCATGAATACTCTGTTTTTGCCACTGCCGTCATTGGTATCCTTGGATTTCAAACGTGAAATGGTCGGACTGGAGTCTGGTTAGTGACGGTTGCTATCCAATGGAGCGCTGCGATTGGTTGTACAAAATTCTGGGCCGGGATTAGTGAAGAGTCAATTCCCACCCCAGCATCTAACGACTTGAAGGAAATCTATCAAACGCTCAGTCTGCTCTGGTCGTGTCTGTGTCAAAGAGTCAGCACACTCAACCCCAGCAATTATTAACTCAAACCCTGGTCCCTGCGACTAATTCAAAAAGTATTATACCAAAAGGTTAAGGTGAGGTCTCTAGATGTTGTATTAAGGTTGTTTCGTGTTTTTACAAGGGGTTCACTTTTTTTTGCATCACTTTTGAATAAAAGTTAATAAAACTTGTATGCCATTTTTTTATGAGAATGTGACTATAATAAATAAACAGAAAAATAGCACAGTATGGAATTATAGGTGCGATAATATCAGATATTTGGAGTAGCATATCATGGAATAGGTATTCCCAAATATCGGCGAACCCAAAATATGCTCTTATAAATAACAACACCAAGATTCATAGGTAGAAGTTGCTGCCAAGGGCGCCAAGTTGGCACAGGATGACCACTCTGTAGCCAGGCTGCCGAAGGGTGCAGTCAACAACTCAACAACTAGCCATTGTATCTCAAACCGAACACTATCACTCAATATGCACGTTCACGAGTCAATCTCAATGGCTAGTTGTCGAGTCTACGAGGGCTCCACTGCATCCTTCAGCAGCCTCTTAACCGAGTGGGCATCCTGTGCCAACACATCGCCCCTGGCAGCAACTTCTACCCATGAATTTTAACCCATTACCTAGCAACAACATGGCCACTACTACTTTGCCCTCAAAATAGTCATAATGAATCTAAGATAATCATTTATTTGTAATTATTTGCTGAGGTCTTAGTCGTGCAATTTTACATAAGGCATTTTGTGCTTGAAGGAGTATTATTTTGGAAGTTTTAAAAAGTGCATGAAAAACAGCTGACCCGACACTGTTTAGAGAAACATGCGGTTCTACAGACTGATTTATGAGAACACAACTTCATCAGCAAGCTGTAAATAAAGGACAAGTTACACGCTGTTTATCAGCGGCCAAAATCACTAGCTTGTTAAGTCCCATCCCTGTGTTTGTCAGTGAAGCTAGCTGTTAGAACTAGTTAGCAGGCACTATGAGCAGGCAGGCTAAGTTTTGGCGAGTTGCTTTGGTGCTTTTTTGTGCTGAAGTAGAGAGATGCCGTTTTGTTTTTATAAGTGTACTAAAACAGGTTGCAGAAGGAGACAATGCTCGCAAATGGGTTTGGAATTTTTGAATATTGACAAGTGGCAGTTGGGATATAAGTGGTCGATTGGTCAAAGTGTTAGGTTTATTATTCAGCCTTTGATGTATACAGTGAATAGTGTAAACGTACCTCGTTTGCGGCCATATTCCTGACTTGTTCTGGACGCAACTCTGAGAATTGAAAGAGATTGCATTAGGAAACAAATAGACAAATTTGTAAAGAGACCAATTGCTGTTCCGATCAAAAAGGTTTGAATGAATTGTGCCGCTTACCTCTGATGGGACCGAGGGACGCATCTTTGGCCAGTGAGGTCAGGTCACTGCCAGAGTAGCCTTCTGTCATTCTGCAAGGATTACACATATACCAAGCATTTCCATTATACCACAATATCTTTATCTACATCTCTTAGATCTCTATACAGTCAGGTCCAAAATTATTGTCACCCTTGATAAAGATGAGCAAAAACGACTAAAATAAATAATACAAATACTGAGCTATATTGTATGCTCCAATTGTTATTTATTTATATTATTTTATACTAATATAATTGCTCAGATAAATAGATTTTGTTTAACAAGTAATACAAGTAATATATATATATCATTTTTAAGACCGGTGTCAAAATGATTGGCAACCCTAAATATTCTATCTGCATTTACATTCTACTTTTTTAAGTTAATCTCATTTTAGGAACTGTATTGTGGCCTTCCCTGGCTTCCTGTTTCACTGGGGTATATCCAGGCTCTGTCGTAGCCGGCCGCGACCGGGAGACCAATGGGGCGGCGCACAATTGGCCCAGCGTCGTCCAGGGTAGGGGAGGGAATGGCCGGATGTAGCTCAGTTGGTAGAGCATGGCGTTTGCAACGTATGAAAAAAAATAAAAAATAATGTATGCACTCACTAACTGTAAGTCGCTCTGGATAAGAGCGTCTGCTAAATGACTAAAATGTAAATGTAAAATGTATAACAATGAGGTAACACGCATGTAAAATCCCTTTGTTATTGTCACACCAGCCTTCGCTTTGGCTCCCCCTCCTGTCCAGCTCAGGCGTTCGGCGTCACCGGCCTTCTAGCTTCGGCCAAACCTGCTGCTGGCAAACACCCTTCACTCATCAACCCCGGACTTGTCTCGTCATCATTGCACACACCTGGTTCCAATCCCCACGCTATCACTGTGTATATATACCCCCTCTGTCATTTGTCTTGGTTGGTCATTGTATATGTTGCTTGTTTTCCTGAGAGGAATCTCTCCTACTATTTCCTGAGTACTTTATATTTTGCACTGTGGGTTTCGTCCCGCTTTAAGCTATGGTGCTTTAATAAATTCAGTAGTTCTAAACCTGCGACTGCCTCCTGCCTACTCCTCTCTACACTTGTGACAGTTATCCATCACCATGGGAGAATTCGCAAACAAAAAGCCACAGATGGTTGTTGAACATCATAAAATCAGGCAATGGGTACAAAGAAATTGCTAAAAAAAGAACACAACTACTAGGGCAACGATTAAGAAGTTTCAAACCACTGGAACAGTGGTAAACTTGCCTGGTATTGGACACAAGTGTATCTTGTCCCCACACACAGTAAGGAAGATAGTTTGCGAGGCAAAGAATTTTCACGGGCCAAAGTTTGAAAATTACAGAACTTGGTCACATCTTGGGGTCACCAAGTCTCCAAATCTACAATTAGACGCCACTTCCATGCCAATAGGCTCTTTGGGAGGGTTGCCAGAAAGAGCCTTTATTGAGAGCAACCAACACATGTAAATTCCTGGAGTTTGCTAAACGGCATTGGCACTTGGATTGGAATAGGTGCTCTGGTCAGATGACACAAAAATAGAGCTTGGCGTTGAAAGAAGGATGCATATGAAGAAAAAAACCTCATACCTACTAGGGCTGGGAATTGCCAGGCACCTCACAATATGATATTATCACGATAATTAGGTGTCGACGATATGTATTGCGATTGTCATAATTCTACATGTATTGCGATTCAATACTGTGATTTTATTGAGATTCCATGGTCCAAACATATTGCTCACCACATGTCTGCTGCAGAGTGACAAGAGATAGCCATGAGAAAACAAGTTTTGATCAGTCATGGAAATAAAAGTGCTGAAAACAAATTGGCTCCCTATTTAAAAAGAAGATGGAGAACAAGCTATGAAGGAAAAATACTGGAGTTTTGGTGCAGTTACAGCCAACTAGCACAAACATATTGCGATATTGTCAAACCGGTACAATACGATATATCATCAAAAAGAATATCCCGATATGTAACTATTGATTTTTTCCCCCCATCAATAATACCTACTGTCAAATATGGTGGTGGATCTTGGATGTTATGGGGCTGTTTTGCTTCCACTGGTCCTGGAGTCGTTGTTAAGGTCAACGGCATCATGAACTGTAGCAAGTACCAGGACATTTTAGGCAAAAATCTGGTTGCCTATGCCAGGAGGCTGAAACTTGGCCGTAAGTGGATATTCCAGCAAGACAATAACCCCAAGCACACATCATAATCCACAATGAAATGGTTAACTGACCAGAAAAATCAATTTTGCAATGGCCATCTCAGTCTCCGGACTTGAACCCCATTGGAAACCTGTGGTTTGAATCGAAGAGGGCAGTCCATAAGCGCAGACCAAAGGATATCAAGGATCTGGAAAGATTCTGTATGTGTTCTCCAATCTCATAAAACATTTGAGAAAAGGGCTCAGTACCATTATCCTCGCAAGGGGAGGGTGCCGGAGTATTGAAAACAGGGGTGCCAATAATTGACACCTACACTACCGGTAAAAAGTTTTAGAACACCTACTCATTCAAGGGTTTTTCTTTATTTTTTACTATTTTCTACATTGTAGAATAATAGTGAAGACATCAAAACTATGAAATAACACATATGGAATCATGTAGTAACCAAAAAAGTGTTCAACAAATCAAAATATATTTTATATTTGAGATTCTTCAAATAGCCACCCTTTGCCTTGATAACAGCTTTGCACACTCTTGGCATTCACTCAACCAGCTTCATGAGGTAGTCACCTGGAATGCATTTCAATTAACAGGTGTGCCTTCTTAAAAGTTAAATTGTGGAATTTATTTCCTTCTTAATGAGTTTGAGCCAATCAGTTATGTTGTGACAAGGTAGGGGGTGTATACAGAAGATAGCCCTATTTGGTAAAAGACCAAATCCATATTATGGCAAGAACAGCTCAAAAAAGCAAAGAGAAACGACAGTCCATCATTACTTTAAGACATGAAGGTCAGTCAATAAGGAACGTTTCTTCAAGTGCAGTCGCAAAAACCATGAAGCGCTATGATGAAACTGGCTCTCATGAGGACCGCCACAGGAATGGAAGACCCAGAGTTACCTCTGCTGGAGAGGATAAGTTCATTATAGTTCCCAGCCTCAGAAATTGCAGCCCAAATAAATGCTTCATAGAGTTAAAGTCACAGACACATCTCAACATCAACTGTTCAGAGGAGACTGTGTGAATCAGGCCTTTATGGTCAAATTGCTGCAAAGGAACCATTACTAAAGGACACCAATAAGAAGAAGAGACTTGTTTGGGCCAAGAAACACAAGCAATGGACATTAGACCGGTGGAAATGTGTCCTTTGGTCTGGGGTCCAAATTTGAGATTTCTGGTTCCAACCGCCATGTCTTTCTGAGACGCGGTGTGGGTGAACGTATGATCTCTGCATGTGTAGTTCCCACCGTAAAGCATGGAGGAGGAGATGTTATGGTGTGGGGGTGCTTTGCTGGTGACACTGTCTGTGATTTATTTAGAATTCAAGGCACACTTAACCAGCATGGCTACCACAGCATTCTGCAGCGATATGCCATCCCATTTGGTTTGGGCTTAGTGGGACTATCATTTGTTTTTCAACAGGACAATGACCCAACACACCTCCAGGCTGTGCATCAGATCACCTGGCATCCGCAATCCCCCGACCTCAACCAAATAGAGATGGTTTGGGATGAGTCGGACGGCAGAGTGAAGGAAAAGCAGCAAACAAGTGCTCAGCATATGTGGGAACTCCTTCAAGACTGTTGGAAAAGCATTCCAGGTGAAGCTGGTTGAAAGAATGCCAAGAGTATGCAAAGCTGTCATCAAGGCAAAGGATGGCTGTTTGAAGAATCTCAAATATAAAACATATTTCGATTTATTTAACACGTTTTTGGTTAGTACATGATTCCATATGCGTTATTTCATAGTTTTGACATCTTCACTATTATTCTACAATGTAGAAAATAGTACAAATAAAGAAAAACCCTTGAATGAGTAGGTGTTCTAAAACTTTTGACCGGTAGTGTCTCTTTTTTAGATTACTTGTTAAACAAAATCTCTTTCTCTGAGTAATTGTATTAGTATACAATAATATAGTTTTGCTCATCTTTATCAAGGTTGCCAATCATTTTAGACGTGACTGTATATCTCTATACCTATCACTGACTATCTGTATGTCATTCTGAAAGCATAAAGAGATAGCAAACATTTCAAATATAGCATTATGTCTCTATTCATCTCTAGATATCAATATATCTATTGGTATCTGTTTATCCATCATTTTGAAAGGATTACAGAGAACAAAACATTTTATAATTATAAAGATAGATGGATATCATGATCTATAGCTCTATCAACTACCTATTGTACAAAGTTCATTCAACCCATGGTAAAGGATATCTAAAAGTACATACCATATTAGGTAGGTTTCCAATTCAATTTACCTGGCGAGCTGGGACAGTTCTTTCTGTGCGAGAGGATTCCCGTGCTTCCCCAAAAGGTTCTTGACCAGTTTTAGCCGTGTCTATACACGACACACAATTATATACATTTTTGCAGGGAAATTGCATTGGGGAATGTGATTTGTTTACTGTAAGGCTACAATTGTAAATGGAATTAATAGGTTTCTTAACATACCTCTTCTGTTGGTAAAGCCACGTACACCCGTTTTGCAAAACGTCTGTGAATAAAAACAGTTTGAGAACATGTTGCCATTGGGTAGGACATGAAGACTTGAAGGACAATTCCACCACTTTATAACCAGTTATTATGCTGCTAGGATACACTGAGTGTACAAAACATTAGAAACACCTGCTCTTTCCATGACATAGTGAATCCAGGTGAAAGCTTTTATTCCTTATTGATGTCACTTGCTAAATCCACTTCAAATCAGTGTAGATGAAGGGGAGGAGACAGGTTAAAGAAGGATTTTTAAGCCTCGAGGACAAAAAAATACATGGTTTGTGTATGCGTGCCATTCAGAGGGTGAATGGGCAAGACAAAATATTTAAGTGCCTTTGAATGGGGTATGGTAGTGAGTGCCAGGCGCACCGGTTTGACTGTGTCAAGAACTGCAACGCTGCTGGGTTTTTCACGCTCAACTGTTTCCCGTGTATATTAAGAATGGTTCACCACCCAAAGAACATCAAGCCAGCTTGACACAACTGTGGGAAGCATTGGAGTCAACACGGGCCGCCAGATGCCCATCGCTGTATTAGACGAAGACAACCACAGCAACATATAGCAGGAAATTCCAATATGATCAGGAAACTATAGACATGTTATATAGATAGCTAAAAATGACTGTCCATCATTTATTTTATTAGTTATCTCAGGGATCCTACTTGAGAAGCAATTTCCAGTTTTGCACATCACTAAACAGTCAATAGCCATGAAATCATCAAATTACACTAAAACTGTGTGTATGACATCACTAAATACTTCATAATAACAAACCAAATGTTAAATGTGGCGGAGTTGCCCTTTAACAGTGCTACCTTTTGGCAGAGAGACCTCACTGAAAAGTAAACCTGGGTTGTGTTCAGTAGGCACACAAAAATGTATGAAACAGGTAGGGAGGTACAAACTGGGCATCCCCTGCCCCAACCACACTGGCCTACAGTACCTAAGAACAGCCTCGTCCAGCTCCTGAGGCCTGTTGGTGGCACCCATCACCAACACCCGCTCATCCCCACCAGATTGCACCTAAACACACACCAAAATAAATATTATTGGCAGCAACACAGACAATATACAGTGGGGGAAAAAAGTATTTAGTCAGCCACCAATTGTGCAAGTTCTCCCACTTAAAAAGATGAGAGAGGCCTGTAATTTTCATCATAGGTACACGTCAACTATGACAGACAAATTGTGGGGAAAAAATCCAGAAAATCACATTGTAGGATTTTTAATGAATTTATTTGCAAATTATGGTGGAAAATAAGTATTTGGTCACCTACAAACAAGCAAGATTTCTGGCTCTCACAGACCTGTAACTTCGTCTTTAAGAGGCTCCTCTGTCCTCCACTCGTTACCTGTATTAATGGCACCTGTTTGAACTTGTTATCAGTATAAAAGACACCTGTCCACAACCTCAAACAGTCACACTCCAAACTCCACTATGGCCAAGACCAAAGAGCTGTCAAAGGACACCAGAAACAAAATTGTAGACCTGCACCAGGCTGGGAAGACTGAATCTGCAATAGGTAAGCTGCTTGGTTGGAAGAAATCAACTGTGGGAGCAAGTATTAGGAAATGGAAGACATACAAGACCACTGATAATCTCCCTCGATCTGGGGCTCCACGCAAGATCTCACCACGTGGGGTCAAAATGATCACAAGAACGGTGAGCAAAAATCCCAGAACCACACGGGGGGACCTAGTGAATGACCTGCAGAGAGCTGGGACCAAAGTAACAAAGCCTACCATCAGTAACACACTACGCCGCCAGGGACTCAAATCCTGCAGTGCCAGACGTGTCCCCCTGCTTAAGCCAGTACATGTCCAGGCCCGTCTGAAGTTTGCTAGAGTGCATTTGGATGATCCAGAAGAGGATTGGGAGAATGTCATATGGTCAGAAGAAACCAAAATATAACTTTTTGGTAAAAACTCAACTCGTCGGGTTTGGAGGACAAAGAATGCTGAGTTGCATCCAAAGAACACCATACCTACTGTGAAGCATGGGGGTGGAAACCTCTTGCTTTGGGGCTGTTTTTCTGCAAAGGGATCAGGACGACTGATCCGTGTAAAGGAAAGAATGAATGGGGCCATGTATTGTGAGATTTTGAGTGAAAACCTCCTTCCATCAGCAAGGGCATTGAAGATGAAACGTGGCTGGCTCTTTCAGCATGACAATGATCCCAAACACACCGCCCGGGCAACGAAGGAGTGTCTTCGTAAGAAGCATTTCAAGGTCCTGGAGTGGCCTAGCCAGTCTCCAGATCTCAACCCCATAGAAAATCTTTGGAGGGAGTTGAATGTCCGTGTTGCCCAGCGACAGCCCCAAAACATCACTGCTCTAGAGGAGATCTGCATGGAGGAATGGGCCAAAATACCAGCAACAGTGTGTGAAAACCTTGTGAAGACTTACAGAAAACGTTTGACCTGTGTCATTGTCAACAAAGGGTATATAACAAAGTATTGAGAAACTTTTGTTATTGACCAAATACTTATTTTCCACCATCATTTGCAAATAAATTCATAAAAAATCCTACAATGTGATTTTCTGGAGAAAAAAAATCTCATTTTGTCTGTCATAGTTGACATGTACCTATGATGAAAATGACAGGCCTCTCTCATCTTTGTAAGTGGGAGAACTTGCACAATTGGTGGCTGACTAAATACTTTTTTTCCCCACTGTACAATGCCTTCGGAAAGTATTTAGACCCTTTGACTTTTTCCACTTTGTTATGTTACAGCCTTGTTCTAAAATTGATTAAATTGTTTTTTCCCCCTCATCAAGCTACACACAATAGCCCATAACGACAAAGCAAAAACAGGTTTAGAAATGTTAGCAAATGTATTACATAAATAAATATCACATTTACATAAATATTCAGACCCTTTACTCAGTACTTTGTTGAAGCACCTTTGGCAGCGATTACAGCATTGAGTCTTCTTGGGTATGACGCTACAAGCTTGGCAAACCTGTATTTGGGGAGTTTCTCCCATTCTTCTCTGCAGATCCTCTCAAGCTCTGTCAGGTTGGATGGGGAGTGTTGCTGCACAGCTATTTTCAGGTCTCTACAGAGATGTTTTCATCAAGGATCTCTCAGTCCTTTGCTCCGTTCATCTTTGCCTCGATCCTGACTAGTCTCCCAGTCCCTGCCGCTGAAAAACATCCCCAAAGCATGATGCTGCCACCACCATGCTTCACCGTAGGGATGGTGCCAGTTTTCCTCCAGACGTGACGCTTTGCATTCGAGCCAAAGAGTTCAATCTTGGTTTCATCAGACCAGAGAATCTGAGAGTCTTTAGGTGCCTTTTGGCAAACTCCAAGCGGGCTGTCATGTGCCTTTTACTGAGAAGTGGCTTCCGTCTGGCCACTCTATCATAAAGGCCTGATTGGTGGAGTGCTGCAGAGATGGTTGTCCTTCTGGAAGGTTCTCCCATCTCCACAGAGGAACTCTGGAGCTCTGTCAGAGTGACCATCGGGTTCTTGGTCACCTCCCTGACCAAGGCCCTTCTCCCCCGATTGCTCAGTTTGGCCAGGTGGCCAGCTCTAGGAAGAGTCTTAGTGGTTCCAAACTTCTTCCATTTAAGAATGATGGAGGCCACTGTGTTCTTGGGGACCTTCAATAATGCAGACATTTTTTGGTACCCTTCCCAAGTTCTGTGCCTCAACACAATCCTGTCTCGGAGCATCTACGGACAATTCCTTCGACCTCATGGCTTGTGTTTTGCTTTGACATGCACTAACAACTGAGGGACCTTATATAGACAGTTGTGTGCCTTTCCAAATCATGTCCAATCAATTGAATTTAACACAGGTGGTCTCCAGTCAAGTTATAGAAACATCTCAAGGATGATCAATGGAAACAGGATGCACCGGAGTTCAATTTCGAGTCTCATAGCAAAGGGTCTGAATACTTATGTAAATAAGGTATTTCTGTTTTTAATTTTTAATACATTTGCTAAAATATAAAAAATAACGTTTTTTCCTTTGTCATTATGGGGTATTGTGTGTTGATTGCTGAGGAATTTGTTTTATTTAATCAATTTTAGAATAAGGTTGTAACGTAACAAAATGTGGAAAAGGTCAAGAGGTCTGAATACTTTCTGAAGGCGCTGTATCTCTTGGACAGATTTCATGTGGAAGAGGCCAAATCTTCATGCAGGATATGGACAAGACAAAAAAATCAAATCAAAGTTTATTGGTCGCGTACACAGTTTAGCAGATGTTATAGCAGGTGCAGCGAAATTCTTGTGTTCCTATCTCCTAAACAGACATGGCCGGATGCAGGATGTGGCCAAAACAGACAGAATCCCTCCAGGGACAAACATTGCACACACGCTCATGAACTCATAAAACAACATTTTAAACAGTTGACAAAATTAACACTGGAACACACGTGTGCAGGCGTAGAAACACACACGGGGGAGACCTCCTTACCCCATCAAATTCAATCAAGAACTCGGTCTTCAGACGTCTGCTGGCATCATGTTCTCCCTCTCTTCTCTCACAGAGTAGGCTGTCGATCTCATCTGTGTGGGGTAAGTAGTCACAATCTGAATGGAAGGGTCCCATTATCCTAGTAGTCTATGCATAGTCGCACTCTCTGTTTCCATCAGTTATTAAATAGAAAATTCTTCCCAACATGCTATAATGCAACTTTCTTGCATAGAATATCTGTGCTTATTATTAGATTGCAGGTAATGAAACATTATCGTTATGTGCTTCCTTGACCAGTTCATTGCAGTTACGTATTCTTCTTGGTTTATCTAACAAAGTCAAAGTTACCTATGAAGATGATCGAGGGTTGCAGTTCTCTGGCGACGGCAAACAGAGCTCGCACCAGCTTCTCTCCCTCCCCCACCTACAGGGAAAGACCAAAAGAATAGCAAGTTTACTCTGAATAGCGAGTTTACTCTGAATAGCGAGTTTACTCTGAATAGCGAGTTTACTCTGAATAGCGAGTTTACTCTGAATAGCGAGTTTACTCTGAATAGCGAGTTTACTCTTTTTCTACAAGGGTCTACTTGAAATGACTGATATATGTTTTTCTACTAAACTCAGTTGAACGCACTGACTAAGTCGCACTGGATAAGAGCATCTGCTAAATAACTAAAAAATTAAAGTGTAAAGAGATCGTTCCGCTAATAATGTACTCACATATTTCGAGGTCAAGCTGGCAGCACTTATGTTGAAGAACGTGGCGTTGGACTCCATGGCCACTGCTTTAGCCTATCAGTAAAAAATAAGAGGTAAAATGTAAAATGCAGAACATTATCCTTATTTTGAGATATTTTCAACTAAATGCTCTATAATCCTTATATTCACGTTTTTTTTTGGTTCACTTTGTTTTAAATTTGATTATAGCATACCCATATTCCTGCTCTATAGAATCACCATTTGTTTTTAATGCAGTTCAGACACATTTTGGGAGATTGAGTTCATTAATTATGGCTAAACTACATTCATGATGGATAATGCAATTTTGGATGACAGAAAAACACAAAATATTTAGCCATACATTCTGTGTCATCGGTCATAGTACTCTGCAGTAAAAGTACCACCATGTAAAAACATAAAGTACTTATTAGCCCTAAACCAACTCTACTCTTGAACAAAGCATCTCACAGTTAGAGGATGTCAAAACAAGCAAATCCAGTGAAAGGACTCTGTCCATTGTCTATATTATAAGTATTATATTAGTCTTCTATTATAAAGATTTTACAATACAAATGTATCGTTTTTCTATGAAAATTGTTAATCTATTTCATGATCACTTGTGGTCTTTGTGAGCCTAACCAAGACCCACTCCAACTAGTCATTTCTCATTCGGTCTCTTGCCAATACCAAATGGTACTGAACCACACTCACCAGCATGGTCTTTCCGTTGCCAGGAGGACCGAAGAGGAGAAGGCCTCGTGCTGGAGCCCTCAAGCCTGTAAACAACTGGAAGAAAAAAAACATCTACTCAGCACTTATACACATAGTACATAGTCCTGAAGTTCAAAATTACTGATTGAACATTTACTGTATATATACACAGTATAAAGTGGGTAAAACAGTACGTAAACATTATTAAAGTGACCAGTGTTCAATGACTATGTACATAGAGCAGTAGTCTAAGGTGCAGGGTTGAGTACCAGGTGATAGCCGGCTAGAGAGGTTCAGGGCAGAGTACTGGGCAGAGGCTGGCTAGTGGTGACTGTTTAACAGTCTGATGGCCTGGAGATTGAACATGTTTTTCCAGTCTCTCGGCCCCAGCTTTGATGCACCTGTACGGTCTCTGCTTTCTAGATGGTAGCGGGGTGAACAGGCCGTAGCTCGGGTGGCTAAGGTCCTTGATGATCTTCTTGGCCTTTCTGTGACACCAGGTGCTGTAGATGTCCTGGAGGGCAGGCAGTGTGCCCCCGGTGATGCGTTGGGCTCATCGCTCACCCTCTGGAGAGCCCTGCGAATGGTGCAATTGCCGTACCAGGCAGTGATACAGCCCGACAGGATGCTCTCAATGGTCCATCTGTAGAAGTTTGTGAGGGTCCTAGGGGCCAAGCCGAATATCTTCAGCCTCCTGAGGTTGAAGAGGCACTGTTGCGCCTTCTTCCCCACGCTGTCTGTGTGAAGGGACCATTTCAGGTTGTCAGTGCCGAGGAACTTGAAGCTTTTGACCCACTCCACTGCGACCCAATCGATTTTTCCTGGCACCACTCTGCCAGGGCTCTCACCTTTTCCCTGTAGGCGGTCTCGTCATTGTTGGTAATCAAGCCTACCACTGTTGTCGTAACATGACTGAACAAGGCGTTAATGGCCCGCGAATAGTTTTAGAATGGCTCGTGACATGGTTTATGAATGTAAAATGCGGCCCGCCAATGGAGATGCATCCAGCTGCAGCGCCAAAGTGCAATAGAAGGAAATAAATGTAGTGCCGGTAATATGGTCACAACTTTTGAACAGTTTGGGCTAGAGACAAGCGGTTTTCTCTGTAGTAATTGTGCAACCGAAAGCACTGTTTTTTTTCTCTATGGCACACGGAAACATTGGTACAGTGAAGCCTAATCATTACAACAATTATTATCTGGCTGATTATTTTTTTAGGTACACTGGTGCTCCAATATAAAAATTCCAAGGTGAACAGCAAAATAGGCTCTCCTATGAAGCTTGAACACATTTGCTCGTACCACGGATCCCCCTCTTATTCATTATGATCTAAAAGCCTAAACGGATCCAAGATCAGCACTCCTACTCTGAGACGCTTTTGTAGGCCGTCATTGTAAATAAGAATTTGTTCTTAACTGACATGCCTAGTTAAATAAAGGTTAAATAAAAAAATACAGACCATTATGTTAGGACTGCCCACATGAACAGTTGCTGCTCAAATGTTTTACTGACGACGTTACTGACAGGTGATACTTTGTAAGAGGCAGCCTGTGAAAATACTTCCATATTCACATCACTCCATGATCCATTGAGTTGCTGTTCCGCTCTAATCTCACCTCTGGCCTCAGTGCAGGCAGGATGACTATTTCCTGTAGGGCCTGCTTAGCCAGCTCCTGACCAGCAACGTCCTCGAACCTCACTGATGAGCCACTGAAACACACACGAGACTGGTCTGAGTGCTCATTCCCATACAGAAATATAGACATACTCAACTCTGCCTGGGTTGTGTTCATTAGGCAGCAAAGATGGACTGAAACAGGCAGGCTGGACTTTTCCATGTCAGAACGTTATAAAAAGTGTTGCATCGGTGTGCCCTATTGAACACGACCCAGGTCAAGCAGTCAACGTCTATTGTGTTCCAAACTGAGACACCTTGCAAAGCACATGCTTTACGTCCAGTGAATAATACATAAGACTGATCATTGTCTCTCACCTGTCTATGATCTCACTGAGGATGAGGTTGGCAAGCTTGCTGTCCACATTCTTCAAGTTCTTCACGTCCCTCTTCTTCAGTGGGGACATGGATGTGGGAGTGGTGGGTTTACAGTTTGGCCGGTTGCCCACTTTACCCTACAACAAAAGAACAATGACTTCAGATTTGGTTACGATTTTAAACAAGCTAATCTCTTGGAATGATGATTGGAAATTCTCCCATTTTCTTCTTATTTTTGTCAATTTTGTCTTCCCTTCATTAAAAATGGATATAGTCTGGAGATGTTCTATTAGCATTACGTTTTTTATTCCAGCTCCTTTATAGTCCATGGCTATGGTGCTAGTCTAGCTATTCCTTTTAGAGCATAATGAATAAGATTACATGGACAGGGAGGAACTGATCCTAGATCAGAATTCCTACTCTGATACACTATCAATATGGGCCCTGGACTCTTGGCTAGATGTGGAGTTAGTTGAGGAAATACAATCTGGGTCTCACCTTGTTGCTGTTGGACTGGGGGGCCGGTCTGTGCTGTGTGTGACTGCTAGAGGGCCCACTGAAGCTGGGGGAGTGCTGGTGGCCCCTGTGGCCTGCCGTCAAGGGGTTTTTTGGCGTATGCTTTGGTCGTGGGAGGGAGTGACTGGAGTGAGTAGTCAGGGAGTCCCTCTTTTTGGGTACGGCTCCATTTACTGCCAAGAGCAAGGAGACATTTAGAACCATCGAGGTAAATGATCGATTATTTATCAGTATGGTAGGTTAGGACATTTAATTAAGCTGTGTGTGAGCTAATGTCCCTTCAGTAGAGGCATATGATTCTCCAAGCCTGATTTAGTCTTAGACTGCGTGAATCTGAACAGGTCAAACAGACTTCAAGTCCATGTAGTCACTGGACAAAGCTGGATAAACACCTGCCAGTGTTTCTATGTGAGAGAAATATGACTGTAGTTTGAGGTAGCTATCAGTGTCAGTGTGAAGAACATATTGATAAATACACAGACAAAGCAGCAGAAAGAGTAAAATAGATATGTAACACTTAACTTGAAGGGAGCTTACTGTACCATAGGCATTCAAAGATTAAATGGAAAAACCAGGAAAAGTCAGGAAAAGTAGGATATTGGTTTGGAGGTAGATCAATTTCAATGATGTATGAAGAGAATAAAGCCAGAAAAACTGGAATTCCTGAATAATCAGGAACAATTGACACCCCTGAAAACACTTTTAAGAACCCAGTCATGACACCTGAAAGCAGATTCCCGGTAGCACCCACCTGAGCGTAGATGCCCGTTATGGTACGACTGGTTTGAGCTCTCTGTATAGATGTCTCTCTGAGCTGGCCCTGAACGCAGCTTTGCTACACAACAGGAATGACAACGACAACAACAAAACGAGGTTGGGAAAGGGGATAGGAGAATCGGAGAAGGGAGGGAAAAGAAGAAAAGGAAATTATACTTAAAATAAACAAATAAAATAAGGGGTGCCATGCCAGGATTCTTTGAATGGGGGATGAACAGCAATGTTTTGGGATGGTTCCTAAGTTAAGTTGTCATGCCACATCCAAGAATGAGGCATATAGGGTAGGACAGAGAGGATTGTCAACATTTCAGTTTCTTAGGCAGCAAAGCCAAACATAGCAGCCATTTCTAACCAGGACGAATCAAACACAAAGAGTAGGGTCGTGTTCATTAGGGAAATGTTTTAAAACATTCTGCAACGCAAAAGGAAAATGAGTGTTTCTTATTGGACAAGTCTAGGTTTGTTATCTTAGGTTTGGTGCCTAATGAACATGACTCAGGATAATGTTGCAGCCAGCTGTGGAATGACGAGAAGCTTCTGAAACAGCTTTGGGGGACCACTGAGTGGATTTATACCATAACTTACTAATTATGTCATTTAAAGGATTACATTATTTATTTATTTTTTGGGGGGGGGGTCCATTGTGTGTTTAATAAAAAGGCACTGGAGTATTTATGGCCTAATCCCTTTTGGTACATAAAGTACATTGTAGTTTGGAAGTCAAGTGATGTCAATACAAAAAGTATGTATGAGAACTATACTATGAGTTGCACACCCTTTTGCCCTCACAACAGCCTCAATTCATCAATTCACAATTGTGTCAAGTTGGCTGGATGTCCCTTGGGTGGTGGACCATTCTTGATATACACGGGAAACTGTTGAGTGTGAAAAACCCAGCAGCGTTGCAGTTCTTGACACACTCAAACCTGTGTGCCTGGCACCTACTACCATACACCGTTCAAAGGCACTTAAATATTTTGTCTTGCCCATTCACTCTCTGAACGGCACACATACACAATCCATGTCTCTCTGAAAAATCCTTCTTTAACCTGTCTCCTCCCTCCATCTACACTGACTGAAGTGGATTTAACAGATGACATCAATAAGGGATCATAGCTTTCACCAGATTCACCTGGTCAGTCTATGTCATGGAAATGTTTTGTACACTCAGTGTATACAGGCCCTACACGTTTATTTTTTTCTCCAAGAGATACAAAGCTATGGAACGATTTCTGTGCCAACAGCAAATGTTTTTGAAATCCATAATTTTGAATTTGTATTTGGATATTCAATTTCAGTTCAATCATTTTGAATTTGTAATCCACAAACTGAATGAATAATTGTACATTTCAATTTCAATTGAATATTCAAATTCAATATCTATACATTAAGTTTCAATGTGGTAAATATTGCATTCATTGTCTTGTATATCAAGTTTTCAAACTATCATTTCAAGTTTATCAAAGTTTCCGATATTCAACTTCTCAGATGCATTCAGATTCAATTTTTTTTATTCAGCCCTCTAAATTAAGATTCAAAACCAGAGACAACATAATGGTACTTTACCAGCCAGGAATGGTAGAGGAGAACAGATAGAATCAAACGCTCTCTGTGGAAAATAGAAGCGTCTGGTGGTTTCTAAAGCCAGTGTGGCATGTTTAATTTATTTTCTTCCTATGAATTTGGCTCTAGCGTTTTAACCGTTTGGGCTTTAAGATATTCCCTTGAGAATGTCATTTTGGAGTCACTTTTACCTTGTGGATGTCATTTTAGAGTCACTTTTATTGTAAATAAGAATAGAATACATGATATTTCTGCCTCCATCTTTCTCACTCATCAATATTCACGATTCATTCTGAATTATCCGTAATCATGGTAGCATCCACATTAATGTAGAAGTGTTTAGAAACATATTATATTCTTATTTACAATAAAAGTGACTCCAAAATGACAATACATTATTTACCATTCATTTCTATTGGGCACAAAATAATCTGAAACACAACCAAAACAAACAGCAAATGCATTCAACAAGTTTGTAGAGTCACAAGCTTGCTATAGTCATTGTGTGCTTTGAATATGGGACCAAATACAAATGTTGTACTCCTTTAATACACATAAGTTAATTTGTCCCAATACATTTGGTCCCCTTAAATAGGGGGACTATGTAGAAAAGGTGCTATCATTTCTAAACGGTTCACCCAATATGGATGAAAATACCCTCAAATTAAAGCTGACAGTCTGCACTTTAACCTCCATCACTGTATCATTTCAAATCCAACATGCTTGAATACAGAGCCCAAAATATATATATATAAATGTCACTCCAATGATTAATCCACAGACAACGGTGGTGGGCCTGATCACCAACAACGATGAGACAGTTTATAGGGCGTAAGTCAGAGACCTGGCAGTGTGGTGCTACATTTACATTTTCATTAAATTTTCATTAAATTTTCGTCATTTAGCAGACGCTCTTATCCAGAGCGACTTACAAATTGGTGCATTCACCTTATGATAGCCAGTGGGACAACCACTTTACAATATATCAACAAAACATTTTGGGGGGGGAGGGTGGGGTAGGGGGAGGGTAGAAGGATTACTTTTATCCTATCCCAGGTATTCCTTAAAGATGTGAGGTTTCAAGTGTCTCCGGAAGGTGGTGAGTGACTCCGCTGTCCTGGCGTCGTGAGGGAGCTTGTTCCACCATTGGGGTGCCAGAGCAGCGAACAGTTTTGACTGGGCTGAGTGGGAACTGTGCTTCCGCAGGTGTAGGGGGGCCAGCAGGCCAGAGGTGGATGAACGCAATGCCCTCGTTTGTGTGTAGGGACTGATCAGAGCCTGAAGGTAGGACAACAACCTCTCCCTCAATGTGGGCAAAACAAAGGATCTTATCGTGGACTACAGGAAACAGAGGGCCAAACACGCCCCCATTCACATCAACAAGGCTGTAACGGAGCGGGTCGTGAGCTTCAAGTTTCTCAGTGTCCACATCACTAAGGACCTATCATGGTCCACACACACCAACACAGTCGTGAAGAGGGCACGACAACCTCTTCCCCCTCAGGAGGCTGAAAAGATTTGGCATGGACGGCAAGGCGCTACAGAGGGTAGTGCGTACGGCCCAGTACATCACTGGGGTCAAACTCTCTGCCATCCAGGACCTCTATACCAGGCGGTGTCAAAGGAAGGCCCTAAAAATGGTCAAAGACTCCAGCCCCCAAGTCATAGACTGTTCTCTCTGCTACCACACGTCAAACGGTACCGGAGCGCTAAGTCTGGGACCAAAAGGCTCCTGCAGCTTCTACCCCCTAGCCATAAGACTGCTAAATAGTTAACCAAATAGCTACCCAGACTATCTGCATTGACCCTTTTTGCACTAACTTTGACTCTATGCATACACACTGGACTCTACCCACACACTCACACATACAGTACTTACACTGACACTCCAACACACACACACACACACACACACTCACCTCACACATAACACGTACACACATTCGCCACACACACACACACACACATCACATACGCTGCTGCTACTGTCTATTATCTATCCTGTTGCCAAGTCACCTTACCCAAACCTATATGTACATACACTATCTACCTCTATTTCCTCGTAACCCTGTACATGGACTCGGTACCCCACGTATATGCCAAGCTATCATTGCTCATTGTGTATTTATTCCTCGTTTACAAAACAAAATCCTATCATTATAACATTTTTTTATTGTATTCTGCATTGGTGGAAAGGGCCCGTAAGTAAGCGTTTCACTGTTAGTCTACACCTGTATACGAAGCATGTGACAATTAGAAATGGATTAAAATATTTAATATTCAATCAAATTGAAATTGAATTTTAAAACTGAATGCAATATTCATTCAATTCAGTTTCAAATCCTGAAATACAAGTTCAATTTATGAATTCAATGATTCAATTTGTGCATTACAAATTCAAAAATATTTAATTCAAATTCAATATCCTTATACAAATTCAAAATTATGGAATTCAAATACAATTTCCATTGGCACTGAAATCCCTCCATACAAAGCTAACAGACATACTGTATCTAAGCTATCATGAAAAGCAACAAATGTCACACAATCAAACATTATGTCACACAATCAAACAATGTCCTGCCACGCATTCAACACGCATGTAGCCGGTCAGAAGGTGCCATGCGGTATCAATGCGGACGCGGAGGCAAGACATTCAAAAAATTTCCAAATGCTCGATTCTCACCTAAAAGCTCCAGGCGATCCTTTGCCATGATCAGATTGGTGATCATCTTGGCCTGTAGACGTTTATCACGTTCACATTTCTCGCCTGGAAGAGAAGAGAGATTAAAAACAAATCAATAAGTAAAATAGCAGTTTGTCATTTTTTTACACTTTTTTTTTGTTGCTATAGAAGAGGTCTCCAACTCCGGTCCTAGAGCTACTGGGTATGCAGGTTTTTGTTCCAGCCCAGCAGCCACACACTAGCTGTTTCAAATCAGGACCACTGAGCTGAACAATGTGTGTTAGTGCTAGGCTGAAACAAAACCCTGCATATCACTAGCTCTCCAGAGTTGTTGAAGAAATCTGCACTATAGGTCCTAGGAAATACAAAATACAGCAAAGTATGCACAGTCAACTCACCGCTTTCAGCTACCTCGATCGCGATGCCCCTCTCGAGCTCTGCGATTCCGCGTTTGTACCACTGGACTGCCTGCTCCTTGTGCACTAATAACACACAAGCCACAAGGTCGGGACAGTCAGACAGGCCCAGAAAAATAGCATTTTGAGGTTAGAGTACACACAAAGAAATTGCTCACAGTCAAATAAGATCCAACAAAAGCCAATGTAAAAGCATGAGATAGGCTATTTAGTACTTTTGCAGTAGGCTAAGCATCCTTTAGTCTACAATACATATTTGCCATGCATTAGGCCTTCATGTTTTAGGCCACATATTTTACATGTTTATGTATTGCCTAAAGGTATAGCATCTCAAGAGGCATGGGAAGTATAGTAAAAACAGACATTTGCGTGGCATAACAGACAGTCATGACCTCAAACAAAGCTACAGAGATTCATGGATCAATCAGTGTGTAAACCATAATGAAGTGAACTATAATTAATCATTTCACATGACTGACCCAGTCTCTTAAACTCCCCTGGCCTGGAGCAGTGTCAAGTCATGGGACTGATTTTCATAGCTGTGAGAATATACAGGATATCCACTCCTCATGAGTGATTCTGAGTATTTTTGAGACCGGGGCTCCCTAATCCCCAAGGCAGTCAGACAGGCCCTAAAATTCAACTGGGTTCAGTTGAGTTGTGTTCATTAGGCACTAAAATGAGAAAACAGGCTGAAACAGGGAGGAATTGTCGAATAAGAATCGCTGATTTTAGTTTTTCCATTGCAAAATGTTTTGGTTTTTTATTAAGTTGCATGCCCTGATGAACAAGACGCTGCTGTGGCCTATGTATTGCTTCTATTAGGATCTTAGCAATATGAGAACTGTCATGGTATCCTCTAGCCATTTAAGGACAATGATAGCTGCCACTCCGGCCCTCCCCATGTCAATATATAAATAAATAATTCAGATGGATTTTCGACTTTCACTTCAAATCACCACTCATCTCTACAGATTTAGGTTACTTAGGGGCATGATACAGGCCAGAGCCTTTTATTGCTAATAAATAGATGGATGTGATATAAGCTTAGCCTTCATTGAAAAGGTCATGACTCATGATAAGATATGAAAAGATTCCAGATCTAATTCCATGTATAAGCTAAAGTCCAACCATGGTAAAAACAAAGTAGGACATTTAGATAGACCAAGACAGGGACTGGGAATGCCCCATCTTTCAGTGAGACAAACCAACAAACCTAGATTTCAATAACACAAGTCGTTTGTTTCAAAAGATGTGGGCCAACAGTGCGGCATACTGGGGGACTCATGTTCAAAGTGACGGCAGAGGGAGAGCTAAGCGTACAAAAGCCTCACAAAAGAGTCCAAGGCCCTCGGTTGAATCGGGCCCTTTGTTCCGTGATCCCAAAACCATTTTCTCTCCCCATGCCATCACAATGGTGCTACACAGGGAAACTGGATGTCTGATATGGGAGTGGCCTAGTTGGAAAAGAGCACAAGAGGCTTCCAACACTGCAGTATAGGCCTACTCGAAAAAAAAACACTGAGTGGTAGAAATATACAATATACAGTCAACCCCTGAATATATGCAATGGTTTGGGACTGGTGTGACTGTGTGCAGTAGGCTAAACCTGAGGATGTACAGTATAGCGGTAGAGTACAGTAAGCCCCTTGGCACGTCGCTCCAGCCAGTTCAGTAGGTCAATCGAACATTGGCAGAGAAGACGAGGATGCAGATGTAGGGGGTTTCCAGGGCTGGAAGATTAGGCTGGACTCTGCTTTACTCCAACTACTACGCTAAAGCAGATGATCAGATGTCTTAAAATTCTGCCTTCAGCACGGTAAGGGTTTGGCTTATCTATAGCCTGACTCAAGACACTGCTGTGCTCAATAGCTTGGGGACGAGGTTAGCTTATGACAGACCTAGGAGTCTGGGAGAAACATAATCAATAGATTTTGGGTGTGTGCATTGAAAACGCGGGTCTAACTAACCAAACTCACCAACTTCACGAAAGTACAGCCTAGGCCTTTCAAAACATAGCAAGATGCCCCACTGACTGTAGCCTGTTTTCCTATGTGCTCCGGCCCCTGTGTATTGAGGGGAGGAGTTTCTTAAACGCAAACAAACGGAACGGGGAGGGACCTACCTGAATTTGTCCAATAGAAATTATTGTTTTAGTTGCAAAACCTTCCTTTTTCCAGCTGTTTGGACTAATGATTACACCCCAGTTACAGTACATTGGAACATTGTAAATAGTCACGAAGGAACTTGATCCATTCTGTTCACCCATGCATGATGACACGGCCAACTCTGAGAGGAGAGGGAATCGGATGGCATTTTCCACCCTGCTGACGATACCAATTAATGTCGGCTCACATCATCCCAGCACATGTCTATTGATCCCCTGGGATCACACAGATTGGAGCAAGGCACATGCAGATAGGCAGTAGCTCTGCTGTTGTATTGTATAGGCTACTGTGTATGTGAACAGTATATTGGGAATGTGAACCGTCCTGGTTTCCAAAACACGGTGGTACGAAGGAGGACCAACCATACTTATTTGCTGGTTTTTGCATATCCACAGACTATTGCCCATCTTTCTTATTTTCCTTTTTTAACTAACTGTAAAATATTCATTGGCACCTTAATTTATGCAGGCTAGTTAGACTAGATCATCAACGATTTAAAAAAAAGCAGCGAATAGTGGGCTGGGTCTACTGGTGGCTGTCCCCCGCACTTAGCCGCTAACATATTGGCCCCTTTCGCCCCTGGGCCTACCATATGCCTGACTGCATTCAGCCAGTCTGAGACCTAGCTTGAGTAGGAAGACACATTCTCCTAGCCATATTGAACAGTCTGCATAACTCTGTCAACCAGCTCAACAGTAAGCTATTGTAGTAATAGTGTGGTGGTATAATGGACAGATATGCATCTGTAGTCCAATAAGCTAATATCGGTATGTGATTGCAGACTGAATGTCATTGACAGAACAACTTTTCTCTCTTTGTCTGCATGATGACTTTATAAAAACGATGTGCGGTTTCTATGGAAAGCCCCATAAATACACAACATGTCAGGGATCAACACTTCAGCACCACACCTTTCATCATGCAGAAAATCACAACTTGAACTAGTAAGAAAACAGACCTCTCTTTCTGTACTTCCTGGTTTGCATTTAGAACATCATAATATGTTGACATGCTCCATTGCTTTGCTGTTTGGGTACAGAGCCTGTGTTTGAAGCTATAGGCCTAGTTAAATTGAACCAGTTGTTTCAATCTGTATTGACAGTAGTATCTTTGTTTGCATTATCCACACATGGGTGTATAACAGTTGATAACTTGACAACTGCTGTTAAATCAAATCAAATTGTATTTGTCACATGCGCTGAATAAAACAGGTGTAGGTAGACCTTACCGTGAAATGCTTACAAGCCCTTAACCAACAATGCAGTTAAGAAAAATAAGTGTTAAGTAAAAAAATAATATATATATATATAAGAAAAATTATAAATCATTAAAGAGCAGCAGTAAAATAACAGTAGCGAGGCTATATACAGGGGCTACCGGTACAGAGTCAATGTGCGGGGGCACAGGTTAGTCGAGGTAATATGTACATGTGGGTAGAGGTAAAGTGACTAAAGCTAAGCCCAGCTAGCCAACAGTCAGTGGTGCTGCTGCAAATACCATACCTTTGTCATCCTCGTCAATTCTCAGAGCCACTGAGATGTACTCGAATGCTTGTTTGTGGTGGTTTCGGATCTGCTCGCCGCTGTCCTGCTCGCACACCTTGATCACATGCTCGTCTGCTGCCCGTTGTTTGGGTCTCGCAGCCATAGCACGAGACAGCCGCTCGCAAAGCCAGGCGAAGAGTACGCCAAAATGCAAGACGAGGACACGGAGCACTGCAAACAACGCCAGCAGTGGGTAGGAGAAGTAGTACAAATTTCGTTTATGTAGTGACACCTGGTCGCAGGTGTCCCCTCCGTCGGGCGGGGACCCTGCAGGGCCTCGCTTCTTTCTGCTGCCTCTTCCTCCCGGAGAACTCATTCACCCGACGACTCGCTATCGTATCCATAACATAACGGTATTGCCTTTTGCTTGGGTTGCCTCTCAACTTTTGTAGCGTCTACAGTTGCCACACATTCTCCGACATGGTGGTCCAAATGTTGATCAAATTGGACGGGACGATTACCAAACTAACAAAAGGGTAAGAGAGGAGGGGCACTCGCACTCTTGTCCTATCAGAGACAGTACGTAACTGCAACCAAGATTTTACGTAGAGACCACGCACATTGCGTAAATACTAACAACAAACATGGCGGACGGTAAGTGAAATGTGGTTCGTTTATTGGCATGTTTGTACGTTCTACTATAGTTGTTGTCAATTTTAGTGGTACATTTAGCTTGAAATATTTTCTTATACCCCAACAATTTGTTTAATCCAGTCTGTTATCTCGGTAACAGTCAGTGGTTAACAGTGGAAGGTCGTTGCTAGCATGATAACGTTAGCTAGTCAATTAGCTAAAGTAACGTTCGTTAACCCGCCACTTCGACATTGCTGTAGCTAGCCTACATGTAGGGTACCTTCTTTGGCTTGAAGAGTGGATGGTCATGCTATGTAGTTAGCTACCTGAACTTAATCTGGAGTAAGTGTGTGTATTTTACGTTATAGATAAACGATGGCAGAACCACCGTCCTTGCGGTTGTTGACATTTTGATATTGCTGCTGATCTGTCTCCGAATGATTCTGAAGACATTTACGTTAACTGACTGACTATCCTCTTTATGTTGTCTAGAATGTAGGTAGTTGACATTAATGTATGTTTCTCTCAGATCACACGGACGCAGACCAATCTATGGAGGGGCACACTCCAGTAAGTCTAATACAAATGTAGTTAGGGATTTAAAGTGGTTCTGTTGATTTTAAATGTGTGTTTGATAGTTACACTAATTTAAATGAATACATATTCCTGCTCCTTTTTAGATTGCTGAAAACCCACATTCTGAATTTGGACTGACAGAAAACATCCAGGTATGACAATCAATACGATAATTTGTCTGGATGCAAAATGTGCCTTTCAGAAAATCATGTCCATGAAAAGGGGGCCATTTCAAAGACTCAAACTATCACACTGAATTGTGAGAGTTATGGTAACCTTGATTGTCTACTGAATAAGCAATTTATGCACAGCTCTCTAGCATAGCAGGCACTAATGTGTGAAACTCTGCTTTTTGGTTAAAAAAAACATGAGATTGCAATTCAGAGTACACTTTTAAGATGCTAACATACATGGATAGTGGCTTGAGTAGTGGTAACTGTTGACATTTCTGTATCTCTGCTTTCACCACCTAATTGTGTAGAGAATAGTTGAAAATGAGAAAGCCAACACAGAGAAGGTCTCCAAACAGAAGGTGGATCTGCAGTCGCTCCCCACCAGGGCATATTTGGATCAGACAGTGGTGCCCATTCTTCTTCAAGGCTTATCTGTGCTGGCCAAGGAAAGGTATGTTGAAAATGTCTGTGCAGGGGTTCAGATTTTTTTTCCCATTCACATTTCTGAGTGACATGTTTGGCAATGCATTTGTCAAATGTATAGAACAGGCAGTACTATGAAAAGGGAAGAGCATTTGGGTTTCAAGTAACTGTCAAGTTACCAGACTTTAAATATGTGCCTTTCTCCATGTTGTCTTCTTTCAGACCTGCAAATCCTATTGAATTCTTAGCAGCCTTCCTTCTCAAGAACAAATCACAGTTTGAAGATCGAAATTAAGCCCCGGGCGGATGGAAATGTGCACTTTGAGGCCATATGTTTAAAATCAAGAAAATTGTTGTTTCTGTCATTGGTTATGTTTGCTAATGATACTGTGTCGTTTTTTAAACCAGAATAAAGATGGTGCTGCAGGGAAATATGGTACTCTTCTTTTAGTGCAAATGTCAGAGGTAAAGTAATATCTACAAAACAGACAAACACACTAGTTTGCACCTCAAGTTCCCTTGTATCATGGTCCCCTTCAGGTCAAAATATTCAAATTCAGTCCATTTACCAAAACGCCTACAAGAGGGAACATTGCTTTTTAATGAACAATGTCCCATTTTCTATGTTTTGTGATGTAATGTTGAGAACCAGTCCAGTCCATGTTTCATATTGCCAAATGACGCATGTATTATTCCAGTGCCTTGTTTTATTATACCACAAGTTGAGCTACAGAGCTGGTGATGAACCCCTTTTGATAAAAGGGTCAAATCTCAGATGCCCCAACCTCCATTCTATTAATCATAAGAAATACAACAAACAGGGAAGTTTGTGCTAAATAACTCTAAAATGTAATTTTGGAATCACCCTTTCATCTTGTGAGATTTGTGCTCTTGGAATTAATTTAGCAGAAGTACCACTTTATTGCACAACACAATGAAAACAGTACACGACAATAATTAAATAAAATCCATCCAGAACTTCATTTAAGTGTAAGATAAATAAAATCAAATGTTACATCATTACATTCTATAAAATATATATATTCAATATAAAGACACTCTCTGTGCATATAAAAGCACTCCATTCAAACAGCAGACCAGTATTTGAGTTTTTCAAGCTACCACCAACAAGTTTTAGTCTTCAGTGAGCAGTTAGAACCTAGACTGCAATACAAACTGATAAACAGAGAATGTCAGTTTGGATTTCAGGCTAGTTAGGACCAGCATGCTTCATGTTTAGTTTCTGTTTTTGAGCACTCCGGGATAATGTTTCCCCTAGGTACAGATCTAGCATCAGCCTCTGCCACAATCCTAAACTGAATCATTAGAGGGGAAATGCAAAACTGACCCAAGATCAGCATCTATGGGCAACTTCACCCTACACCTTTTGGCGCCCTCCTTCACCATACATGGCAACTCAGAAGCAATTAGCAAAATGGAGTATGATTTGACTTCTATTTGGATACAAACCAACTATTAGAAAATAGAAAATGTCAAGTTAAATAATTTCCTACGAGTCCTACAAGATTGAATCGATTGACGAACAGAACGCCTCAAACAAAACTTTCATTTTAATCTATGCTTGATTGTGTTATTCTATTCATTTCATTCAACTTATTTACAGAAGGGCAACAGGGTTGGAATCTTGATATTTCATTTATCAAGTAAACACTACTCGAAGTGAAGCACTAAAATATATTTGACTTTCTGGGTTTCCGCTTTCTCAAGACATTAAAGCTCCCATGCAGTCTTTTTTTTATTACATTTTTAAATCATCACTGTCTAATAAATCACTGTTTATGTCATGAAAATAACACCAAATACACTCAGTAACCTGTCTGCCTGCTTTATATAGCAAGCCTCAGCCACAGAATTCAATGTCTGTAGGAGCGAACCATTTTTGTTAAAGGGGTCATTGGTCAGAATACTCAGATCAGATTGTGATGTCATACTGTGGGCCAAAAACTCCATCCCACTTGAACAGGCATAAAAAAATTAACCTCTTACACTAAAAAGGGCATTATCATTTTCACAATTTCAGTGTGAAAATATCATTAAAAAAGAAAAATCAAGTTTGACTGCACTGCCCCTTTAAAAACCAGTAGCCTTGAGCAGAGATTTGAGGGGGAATTGACTTGAATGGATCACTGCAGCTTGTCTTGACTGTTCAAGTTACCACTTCACTTGTGATCTATTGAAGTTGGAGTGCCAAGTTATCCTCAAAAGAACCCAAAGTTGGTTGAGAGGGACATCAATGCCTAATTCAAATTGATCAATAGTGCAATTTGTAAGTCGCTCTGGATAAGAGCGTCTGCTAAATGACTTAAATGTAAATGTAGTGCTTAATACAAATGTGATTTCTCCTGATAATGTCCTGTTTCTGACCTGCATCTTATCGAAATTGACCTATCTAATGAGAAGAAACAACTTGACGCCATCCTATATCTGGAAAATAAGAACTGAGACACATTGATACAAGACAGGTGTATCTGTCTATCTGCCCCATGAAACAATCCCTGATGCATTTTACCCTCGTTTGTGGTGACCTGTTAGCAAAATATACACAATCTGATTTAAAAGCATTCTAGCCCCCCCAATCAAATCTTTGCTCACAGACTACCATTGGTGGAAAACACGAGAACAGGCGTGGGGGAAAAAATGGTTGTGCGTTCCACTGACCCCCAGAGGGGAAGTCAGATGTAGAACTGGTGGGCGGCGAGGTTGTCCATAAAGGGGCGGACCAGGTTGTCTGTAGAGAAGTAGAAGACCAGGCCGAAGGTGATGGAGATGGGGAGAGCTGGGAGGGCCTTCTTGAATATGGCCAGCAGCAGAAGAGTGAGGCAGAGTCCCTGTGAGACACAGAAGGGGTCATTAAAGAACAGTTCAAATCCACAAATGGGCCACATTTGGTGCTTTATCACACAGTTTTTAGGGCTATTTCAGCTTAGCCACCACACTAAATAGGCTAGCAATCAACACCCATTCCAAAGTTTCTGCTGAAACTACCTTTCTAGTTTACTATGGGTCTGCTTATCATGAACCTTAGTTCAGACTTGCAACTGAGCAGTTAAACATACATAAATACAATTAGAAAAAACTAATAAAGTTATAAACTATAATTGTAAGCTAACTCTGTAAGCCACCCTGCCTAATCAATGAACCAACAGCATCACCTAGGCCTATACGTTCACTCCCAGACTCATGGATAGAACGTTTGGAGCGTAGAATACGGTAACCAGTCCATCCAGTATGCATAATAATACAGTCCACACTCAAAGGCAATTACTAGAATTTGTTGAATTTTAGAGTATAGGTTAGACCAATTATGTACCAAATACATTATTATTATTTTTTTTAAATGTTTTACTGCCATGCATAATATGCGGTAGGCTATGTTTAGTATATTATGGGACAATCATTATTTTAATTAATTTAAAATTAAGCTTGGGCTCATATAGGCCTATGCATAAATAAGCTTTAATATACTTATTGGTGTTTTGAATTAATTATCACCTTAGAAAGAGCTGTTCACTTTGAAACAACATCCACAAAGACCATGTTTTCCACTCAGTTTCAACCTGCTGTTGAACTTCAGTGAGGTGAGTTTTAAAAGCACAATACTGTTTTGATGATAAGTGTTTGATGTGATTTTGCATTGATGTCAGAGTGGTTAGAGGGACAATAGAGCCCTGAGTACCAGACCATTAGCAACTTGATGGTCGTTAGCGAGTTGAGTACTACCAACGCATGTCCAGAGTGCATAAAAGGAGATTACTCAATGGTCACATGGAATTTTACTGCGGTTATGACTCATGATTGACGGTGTGGCGGTAATACGGTCACTGCAACAGCCCTAGGTCTGGCTGCAACACTCACTATGAGAATGGCCACAAAGCAGGCCAGCGTGGTGTTCCAGTCTCCTCCGGTGGCGGCAGCCTTCCCCACCAGCACACTGTAGAAGATGAAGTCCCCCAGTCCCAGCTTGACTCCTCCTAAAGATTATACCACACCACAGCATGTCCATTTGGATTCGTTTCACACCACAAGAGACCACATTTATTATAAAATAAAAAACAAACAAACAAATTCATTCTAAAAAATAATTGAGAAAATGTTGCTATGGGAGATGTTTGCCCAATCAACCCCTAGAACACTACCCCCTATGCATTTGTGGAGACCTTAAAGGATTGGCTAGAAATGGCAAATGACTACATTTTGCCCTCTGATAGGCTTGGTGTAATGTTCACCACCATTGCTTACACCCATCCGATCCTACAGACGTGCGTAGGGGGTAGGGGTTAGTGGTTGATTTAGGATTCAGAAAGTACTCACGGTCTTCCTCGTCTAGGTCGTCCTCGGTTGAGTAGGACCTGTTCATCCCTGAGGACACTTGTGTCTCTGGCTCCGCCCAGTCTCCCGCCAGGGCGCTGCCCTCACTCTGATGTGCTTCCTCGTCTGAGGAACCGAAAATGGCAACAGTTTCTTCATTGTAAGTCCTTCATTCAAATCTGTTCTGCATTCAAATCTACAGTGCACTTGAACGTTACAATGTTAAACTGTTTGACTGTTGATACCATAGACAATATAACTATATCTATGGTTGAGACTAGGAACAAACTGAGCATTGTTAAAGCCAAAGGGGTTATAAGCAGAAATTATACGACACCTACCTGTATCTTCATTTGTGGGCTCTGCATTTCTTGCTGGGTTGGCCATCCCAACCATCCATATCATGGCAGCTAAAACGAAATGAAAGTCTTATTAGGAAACTGGTGCAATTCTGCAAGACTTGTAATTTTGGTCGAAAGGCATCCTTATGGAAGGAAATTACGAACCATACCAAAGGCTCGAGAACCAGCTCAAAGAAACCGAACAAACATTTTGGTCAAATCTGAATTGAACTAAAACAAACACACATAAAGGGCACCAAGACAACGAGCCACTGCTTTGTATGATGCCTATTCCCTCAGAGCTGGGTAGTGTTCATTATGTGTCCTTGACCAAAGCACTTAACCCTAAATTGCTCCAGATGATAATGGCAGACTGTGGCTGTGACCCTACTCTCTGAGGGTGTCTCAGGGGGAATTGGGAGATTGATTTTTTTTTATTTTATATAAATTATATTTCCAATTCACACATGCGTATAATACACACTTGTGGACAAATATATTCACCCACCATATTTACAATAAATTAAAATTGTAAGAATGATAATGAAAAAAAAAAAACTCAAATGGTAACAAAACCTTTTGCACCGTAGGTAAACAATGTGCAAAAAAAATGAGAGTTTATTGGACAAATTCATTCCGTTTGGTTTCAAGATAATACACACCCCTGAACTTGTTTAACAAGAAACACTTTCTGTTGCAAAACAGTTTGCTACGGTGTGCCCCAATGAACAAAACCTTGTACTTACATGAATATATGAGTGCAGGGAAGATGGGCTCGTTGCGCTCCTGTGCTGTCTCTACAAGCATCCTGAGAGGACCTTTGGGGCACAAGACTGCAACCAAATCTGCAAAACAAAGGACAACAGCATGACACGGGAATTTCTGAATGAGAAAAAAAAGTACTGAACTACTGGAAGAATGATTGCAACATTTATACATGATGAAATCGCACACTTTTTGATAGGTGGTGCTCAGCTAATAGTCAATGTCTGTACAGCAGCATGATAACTGCTCTACCATTACAGACAAAAAAAAGTGTCAATTTAACACCTATACCATTAAATCAAAGGGCCCGTCCAGAAACAACCTGTAGCCTCTAACCCTCTTGGCTATTCACGAAGATCTGAAAGGATTAGATAGGTATAAGTAATAAGATGGTAGATTCACCTTGCACTGGGATAGGCTAGGTGGAATTTATACCCATCCAAGGACCTTGCACCACTCCAATACTTTCAAATCTGCTACGTTTCTAGACAAAAGATGGAACCTCCACCTTGCCTACAGTCGTGGTCAAAAGTTTTGAGAATGACACATTTACATTTACGTCATTTAGCAGACGTTCTTATCCAGAGCGACTTACAAATTGCACTATTGATCAATTTGAATTAGGCATTGATGTCCCTCTCAACCAACTTTGGGTTCTTTTGAGGATAACTTGGCACTCCAACTTCAATAGATCACAAGTAAAGTGGTAACTTGAACAGTCAAGACATGCTGCAGTGATCCATTCAAGTCAATTCCCCCTCAAATCTCTGCTCAAGGCTACTGGTTTTTAAAGGGGCAGTGCAGTCAAACTTGATTTTAATTTTTTAGTGATATTTTCACACTGAAATTGTGAAAATGATGATAATGCCCTTTTTAGTGTAAGAGGTTAATTTTTTTATGCCTGTTCAACTTTGTGAAGACCAATACTTGTGTCATTCTCAAAACTTTTGACCACGACTGTAGGGATATCCTAAGTGGAAATGATTATACCTATTCAAGGATCTTATACCTATCCAATCGTTTCAAATCACCTCAGTGTCTAGACTAGAGACTAAATTGCTAGGGGTTGTTTCCCCAGACAGTAGAAACCACAAGCAATATGTTCTCTGAGCCCTCCTACTCACCGTAGACGGAGATGGCTCCCAGGATGACCCAGGCGGACCACTCGGGCAGGTACTTGATGAACACCAGGGCCATGAGGGCCGAGATAGAGATGAGGTAGGCCTGCTGCAGCTGCAGGGGCCCCTTCCAGTGTATGCAGATCATTCCCACCGCCCCAAAGTTCCAGATGATCATGGCTACTGTGGGGTAATCCATGGCCATGTTGTAGGTTTTAAATACCTCCCTGGATAGGAGGAGAGAGATTTGTCAAATCAAACTTTATTTAAAGTGCATTCAAACCTCTGCTTTACAGACAAGGGACGTATCTCAATGGTCACTAGTGGCTTCCTTTCCTCACCTCCTATCCTTCATCCATAGTGATCTGAGTAGGTCAGATGAATACCCTTCCTTTCATCTGTCCTGTCTTTTAGGATGAGGAATTCACATTAAACTGTTGAGATGCTCCCATCCAGAGTTTGAACTGAGGAATTAGAATGCTGCCTTTGCTGTAAGTGAAGACAGTGGGATTCTGTTTAAGTTAAATCTCTGGCCCAGGGACTAAGGTGATCTTTCAGATCTGTCAGACAGTTCTTTAAATAAGAAAAGCTGAGGGGGGAGAAGTTTTAGCTAACAACACAAGCATTGTAATATAATATTTTTCATTTCAATAACAAAGTTACTTAATACACTAGTGTGGTGGAAATTTCTATAACGCAATATTTTTTGGAAAATTGTCAATAGCCACAGAGAAAAGTGGCAGCAAAATACATATTAACAGGTTCTGCTTCCAATGAGGCAGCAGTATCAGTTCCCCTTGCTGCGTGTATCAATAACACCGGGCTAACGCAAGCATTGTTGAACAGGCAGGGGCCAAGTAGGCCACACACACACAATTTAACTTGCCCAGAATAACCACTTCCAGTTTACTGTCCCAAATGCATATGGTGTGTTGGGGTGTAAAACAAGTGACATCTCAAATGACATCCTAAAGTGCACTACCTTTGACCAGAGCCATGAACTAAGCCCATATAAAGAGCCTATATATTATTTGAGACAGCCTTCCTGTCCCGCTCTCTCCTTGAAACAACCACAACAGCCAGGCATGATACCATACAGCTGTCTCCAAACAATTGCAGGGAGGGCCACTCACCCCAGGTACATGAAGCTGAACCAGAAGAGCAGCATCAGTGAGGACAGGATGAGCCATCCGTGAATGAACTAGGACAGAATGAACCATGACACACAGCATTAGAATGTAGCACTCCAAGCTTGGGGCCTGTTCAGTAGGATGTAATGTTACAGAACGTTTATATAGAAATGCACGGTGTAAAACAACAGATATGATTACCTGTCAGATAGAATACCAGGGAATCGTGTCCGCTGTATTCATTCTATTTCTATCTGCAACGTTCAGAATGTTTCACATCACTGAATACACCCTTGGTCTGTCTCACCTTGTAGCAGCGGTATTTGTAGAGCACGACCAGGAAGATGGTCATGACCACGATGACGCTGATCATGATGAGGGTGTTGAGCACAGAGTTGAGCAGCCGCTCGCCCACCGTGTCTGTGTCCTCTGTGAATGGCGTGTAGATCCTAACAGGGCCAGAGTCAAATCAACAATCATGAAATCGGCATGACACTAATACTATGCTCCGTGGTGTCTCCCGAGTGGCGCAGTGGTCTAAGGCACTGCATCGCCACTAGAGATCCTGGTTCGAATCCAGACTCTGTCGTAGCCGGCCGCGACCGGGAGACCCATGGGGCGGCGCACAATTAGCCAGCGTCGTCCAGGGTAGGGGAGGGAATGGCCTGCAGGGATGTAGCTCAGTTGGTAGAGCATGGCGTTTGCAACGCCAGGGTTGTGGGTTCGATTCCCACGGGGGGCCAGTATGAAAATGTATGCACTCACTTAACTGTAAGTCGCTCTGGATAAGAGCGTCTGCTAAATGACTAAAATGTAAATGTAAAATGTGTAGTTTCCCCCTAGGTACAGATCTAGGATCAGCTTCCCCTCCCCAAGCCTAACCTTAACTATTGGTGGGGGAAATGCAGAACTGACCCTGGATCAGCATCTAGGGGCAACTTCACTCTAAACCTAATATTATCTACACCTAATCTTTATCTCATAAGTGGCCAACCCTTCTCAGAATACTAGCTAGCTACCCTCCTGCAGGATTTTGCTCCAGCCCTACGCGAACACACCTTATTCTACTGGATTTCAAGATGTTATAGTAGGGAGGGTGGACCACCCCTAATTTAGCCTTAGTTCCAGTGAGCTAGATATGAACTTAGCTTGTACTAAAGTGTGGGAAAACCAGTTGCGTAACATACTCAAGTTATTAAGACTACTAAGTTCTAAGCATGTCAGTGTCAAATCCCAGGAAAAGTTCCCTTAAGGAGCTGTCATAAAGATCTGCGAGAACCACCTCGTCTCATAATGTCTTGCATAGAAGCAGCTCATCTCATATCATCACGCAAAGAAGCGTCTCTTCTCATATTACACTGGGTTGTGTTCATTAGGGCACACAACAGAAAACTTTTTGAAACAGAACACACATTTTTTTATTTCTTATTGGACAGGTCCAGGTAGCAGCCCCTTCCCGCTGTCTGTTTTCTTCCGTTTGATGCCTCATGAACATAACCCAATGTTACTAAACGGAAGGAAAAACACTTACAGCTGCTGTCCGTTCTTCTCAGTGTAGAAGCTGACCGACTTGATGGTGGCTACGACGACCACCATGCAAAGGGTGACGGGGACGAACAGCATGATGACATGCTTGGCGCCGTACTTGAGGGTACGTTCCTCGTCGTCCTCCAGGTCTACGGGCTCCCGCTCCACGGCACTCCTGTCCAGGCTGGGGGGCTCAGCTGCAGGCTCTGGGGCCACCGGGCGCCGCTGCAAGGTAATGGAGCATTTTTTAGCATTGCTTATTACATGGAAATAGTACATGGTGTGAATAATAGTGTTATTATTGCACTATGAAGGAGTCAATCGAAAGTAGTGGCTGTGGTACCCACAGTACAGTCGTGGTCAAAAGTTTTGAGAATGACACAAGAATTGGTCTTCACAAAGTTCGCTGCTTCAGTGTTATGAGATATTTTTGTCAGATGTTACTATGGTATACTGAAGTATAATTACAAGCATTCCATAAGTGTCAAAGGCTTTTATTGACAATTACATTAAGTTTATGCAAAGAGTCAATATTTGCAGTGTTGACCCTTCTTTTTCAAGACCTCTGCAATTCGCCCTGGCATGCTGTCAATTAACTTCTGGGCCACATCCTGACTGATGGCAGCCCATTCTTGTATAATCAATGCTTGGAGTTTGTCAGAATTTGTGGGTTTTTGTTTGTCCACCCGCCTCTTGAGGATTGACCACAAGTTCTCAATGGGATTAAGGTCTGGGGAGTTTCCTGGCCATGGACCCACATTTTTGATGTTTTGTTCCCCGAGCCACTTAGTTATCACTTTTGCCTTATGGCAAGGTGCTCCATCATGCTGGAAAAGGCATTGTTCGTCACCAAACTGTTCTTGGATGGTTGGGAGAAGTTGCTCTCTGAGGATGTGTTGGTACCATTCTTTATTCATGGCTGTGTTCTTAGGCAAAATTGTGAGTGAGCCCACTCCCTTGGCTGAGAAGCAACCCCACACATGAATGGTCTCAGGATGCTTTAGGGTTAGCATGACACAGGACTGATGGTAGCGCTCACATCATCTTCTCCGGACAAGCTTTTTTCCGGATGCCCCAAACAATCGGAAAGGGGATTCATCAGAGAAAATGACTTTACCCCAGTCCTCAGCAGTCCAATCCCTGTACCTTTTGCAGAATATCAGTCTGTCCCTGGTGTTTTTCCTGGAGAGAAGTGGCTTATTTTCTGCCCTTCTTGACACCAGGCCATCCTCCAAAAGTATTCGCTTAACTGTGCGTGCAGATGCACTCACACCTGCCTGCTGCCATTCTTGAGCAAGCTCTGCACTGGTGGTGCCCCAATCCTGCAGCTGAATCAACTTTAGGAGACGGTCCTGGCGCTTGCTGGACTTTCTTGGGCGCCCTGACGCCTTCTTCACAACAATTGAACCTCTCTCCTTGAAGTTCTTAATGATCCGATAAATGGTTGATTTAGGTGCAATCTACTAGCAGCAATATCCTTGCCTGTGAAGCCCTTTTTGTGCAAAGCAATGATGACGGCACGTGTTTCCTTGCAGGTAACCATGGTTAACAGAAGAAGAACAATGATTTCAAGCACCACCCTTCTTTTAAAGCTTCCAGTCTGTTATTCTAACTCAATCAGCATGGCAGAGTGATCTCCAGCCTTGTCCTCGTCAACACTCTCACCTATATTAACGAGAGAATCACTGACATGATGTCAGCTGGTCCTTTTGTGGCAGGGCTGAAATGCAGTGGAAATTTGTTTTGGGGATTAAGTTCATTTTCATGGCAAAGAGGGACTTTGCAATTAATTGCAATTCATCTGATCACTCTTAATGACATTCTAGAGTATATGCAAATTGCCATCATCAAAACTGAGGCAGCAGACTTTGTGAAAATTAGTATTCGTGTCATTCTCAAAAGCTTTGACCACGACTGTATATCTTCATCACAATCACCACTATCTAAGAGTTAGACACTTTATTCAAATGCTCTTTCTCAATTCATTGCATCCGCTCTCCTCGCCTACTTCTCAAAATGCTTTGGGGAGGGTCCTGGGAGGGACCTTGGACCATCTCCTCCAATACGGTTGCGAAGGAGGTGAGGAGATAGGATGCAAGGAATCACAAAGACCAATTGAGATAGAGCCTTGAAATGATCCAAGGTGTCCCCGCTCCGGGAAAGAGCACTTGCCCAACAGTGCAGAGGACACCTACCCTGGGCTCCATGTCTGCAGGCTGGGGTTGGTCGGGGTCTTGTTGGTAAAATGGCACAGGCGGTATCTTGGATGCAACCAGAGCTGTCCTCTCATTGTAGGAGTCCTCTTCACTGTCCGAGGCACTCATGGATGGAATGTTAGCAACGGCTGAGGAGAGGGACACTGCTGCAAAATTTTTTACAAACGAGTCAAGGCAAAATTCATTGCGACGTTATTGACAAAAAAAACCCGAAGGAACTGCAACTTTACTGACGCCCAATCATTATAGTCCCGCAGGCTCTTTTTTTGACTGACTACATTATCGAGTATATTGGCATCGAAAAACGTAGGCTAAAACTGTATACATAATTTCAGGATACTCTAACGTTATGTAGCTAGCTAAAAGGAGACTTAACGCAATGGATTGATTTAGCCACTACAGTCTGGTATTTAGATCAGATTGTGAGAAGTGCAAGTTAGCTTGCTGACTAGCTAGCAAGCGTATTAGTATAAGAAAAAAAGCTGTACATATTATATTAAAGTTAGTTTTTAAACGTGTCAAAGTACCTTCTTAATCCTTAATTTGACATCAACAAGACCAAGGAAACCGAGTCCGTTCTTGGATGAAAGAAAGCGCTTCAGCAATCTCCAACGACAAGCAGAAAGGCAACAACAGAAGTCATCAGCTGATGCCTGGTGGACCACGTGATCCGTGCTTCTGAAACGTCACTAGACAACTTGTGACTTCAAAAAAATGTTGCTTCGTAAAAATACACAAAAAAATAAGAATAAAAAATATAGAAAAAATAATTTATTAAACTTGTAACCATTTTTTTTTGTGCAAATACAACTCCCTCATCTTACAGTGCCTATATAAAGTCTACACCCCCTTTCAAATGATTTGTTGCCTTAAAGCCTGGAATAAAAATACATTAAAATAGGTTTTAAAATTGGCACCAGTGGCAGTCGGTGCCGTTTAAGATTAGGGAGGACGATCAATAATGTTTATGAGCATGGCCTTATTTCTATTTCAGCATATTGGATGACTGTCCTTCATATTCCATTCACCCAGCTCAATGTAACATCGATAGGTTTAGGCTACTACATGATATTTGAGCATTGCATTTGGTACAAATCATTCCCTAAACTCTAGACCACAGCTGAATCTGGAAATGAATGGTGTGGCTGTTGAACAAGTTGAGGAGACTCAATTACTTGGTGTTACCTTAGTTTGTAAACTGTCATGGTCAAAACATGTAGATTCAATGGTTGTGAAGATGGGGAGAGGTCTGTCCATAATAAAGAGATGCTCTGCTTTTTTGACACCACACTCAAAAAAGCAACTCCTGCTGGCTCTAGTTGTCCAGTCATGTGGTCAAGTGCTGCAAAGAAAGACCTAGTGAAGCTGCAGCTGGCCCAGAACAGAGTGGCATTGTAATCAGAGGGCTAATATAAATACTATGCATGCCAGTCTCTCTTGGCTAAGAGTTGAGGAGAGACTGACTGCATCACTTCTTTTTATAAGAAACAATGTGCTGAAAATTCCAAATTGTTTGCATAGTCAACTTACACACACACACACTTACTCCACCAGACATGCCACCAGGGGTCTTTTCACAGTCCCCAAATCCAGAACAAATTCAAGAAAGCATGCGGTATTATATAGAGCCATTATTGCATGGAACTCCCTTCCATCTCATATTGCTCAAACCTGGTTTAAACAACCCCCAGATAAAGCAACACCTCACAGCACAATGCCTCTCCCCTATTTGACCTAGCCATTTTAAAATGTATGTAGTTCTGTCCTTGAGCTGTTATTGTCTATTAATGTTCTGTATTATGTCATGTTTCATGTTTCGAGTGGACCCCAGGAAGAGTAGCTGCTGCTTTTGTAACAGCCAATGGGGATCCTAATAAACAGTTGTGTAAAGTACTCAAGTAAAAATACTTTAAAGTACTACTTAAGTAGTTTTTTGGGGTATCTGTACTTTACTATTTATATTTTTGACAACTTTTACTTCACTACATTCCTACAGAAAATAATGTACTTTTTACTCCATCAATTTTTCCTGACACCCAAAAGTACTCGTTATATTTTGAATGCTTAGCAGGACAGGAAAATGGTCCAATTCACACACTTATCAAGAGAACATCCCTGGTCATCTCTACTGCCTCTGATCTGGCGGACTCAATAAACAAAAATGCTTTGTTTGTAAATGATGTCTGAGTGTTGGAGTGTGCCCCTGGCTATCCATAAATAAATAAAAAGAAAATGGTGCCGTTTGGTTTGCTTAATATAAGGAATTTGAAATAATGTATACTTTTATTTGACTTTTGATACTTAAGTATATTTTAGCAATTACATTTACTTTTGATACATAAGTATATTTAAAACCAAATACTTTTAGACTTTTACTAAATAAGTATTTTACTAGGTGACTTTCACTTTTACTTGAGTCATTTTCTATTAAGGTATCTTTACTTTTACTCAAGTATGTGACAACTGCTAATAAAATACCAAATACTCTAATTTTCCCTATACCCATCAAGAGGTTGGTACAACCTAGCCTACGAATGAAAGTTTAAAACGTAGGTGCACAGGTGGAGAGAAATGTTTTAGTAATCAAGGTGACAGACAGTTACACATTCAATACCGCCTTGCACACTCTTGCCTGCATCTAGCTGATCTAGGGTGTAATCATTAGTCCAAACAAGAGTTTTTATTGGACAAATGTAGGTATGTTTATACCCGTTTCGTTCGCTTCCATTTAAGAAACGTTGTTCAACAAAATCAGCGGAATGAATACACCCCTGATCAACCGCAAACACAGTTCACTTTCATAGCAGCCCACATACAAACAGCGTGATCACTTTGCTCATAGTATAATTCCTTCTCACATCTACGCGCTATCCTCCTCTCACCTTTTCCCTTCACTTGTGGACCTCAGTGCACAACACAACAGCTGTTTGTGACCAGGTGAAAAAAACTTTCCAACCAAACCTTCATACCATAACCGCTACACACAGCCTACATCATTGTCACCAAATTAGCTAACGTCATAGTCAACATAACTACTAGAACTAACGCATTAGTAAATCCGCTAGCTACAATCATGCAGTACAGTGTACAGCAAGCAGTTTAGCAGTTACACTGGTGGGCCCCGGTGGCAATACATTAATAAAACCAAAAGCTTACCTTGACTTGGAAGAGTTCCAGTGTTGGATAGCCATAGCCAGCTACCTAACATCGCATCCCTCTCTGTTTGAGTCGGGTGTTTGAAACTAGCTAGCTGCATTCGCTAGATAAGTAAGTGAAGTGAAAAAATTATGAAATATAGCTACAGTGGGGAAAAAAAGTATTTAGTCAGCCACCAATTGTGCAAGTTCTCCCACTTAAAAAGATGAGAGAGGCCTGTAATTTTCATCATAGGTACACGTCAACTATGACAGACAAAATGAGGACAAAAATCCAGAAAATCACATTGTAGGATTTTTTATGAATTTATTTGCAAATTATGGTGGAAAATAAGTATTTGGTCAATAACAAAAGTTTCTCAATAGTTTGTTATATACCCTTTGTTGGCAATGACACAGGTCAAACGTTTTCTGTAAGTCTTCACAAGGTTTTCACACACTGTTGCTGGTATTTTGGCCCATTCCTCCATGCATATCTTTTCTAGAGCAGTGATGTTTTGGGGCTGTCGCTGGGCAACACAGACTTTCAACTCCCTCAAAAGATTTTCTATGGGGTTGAGATCTGGAGACTGGCTAGGCCACTCCAGGTCCTTGAAATGCTTCTTACAAAGCCACTCCTTCGTTGCCCGGGCGGTGTGTTTGGGATCATTGTCATGCTGAAAGACATAGCCACGTTTCATCTTCAATGCCCTTGCTGATGGAAGGAGGTTTTCACTCCAAATCTCACGATACATGGCCCCATTAATTCTTTCCTTTACACGGATCAGTCGTCCTGGTCCCTTTGCAGAAAAACAGCCCCAAAGCATGATGTTTCCACCCCCATGCTTCACAGTAGGTATGGTGTTCTTTGGATGCAACTCAGCATTCTTTGTCCTCCAAACACGACGAGTTGAGTTTTTACCAAAAAGTTATATTTTGGTTTCATCTGACCATATGACATTCTCCCAATCCTCTTCTGGATCATCCAAATGCACTCTAGCAAACTTCAGACGGGCCTGGACATGTACTGGCTTAAGCAGGGGGACACGTCTGGCACTGCAGGATTTGAGTCCCTGGCGGCGTAGTGTGTTACTGATGGTAGGCTTTGTTACTTTGGTCCCAGCTCTCTGCAGGTCATTCACTAGGTCCCCCCGTGTGGTTCTGGGATTTTTGCTCACTGTTCTTGTGATCAATTTAACCCCACGGGGTGAGATCTTGCGTGGAGCACCATGACCGAGGGATATTATCAGTGGTCTTGTATGTCTTCCATTTCCTAATAATTGCTCCCACAGTTGATTTCTTCAAACCAAGCTGCTTACCTATTGCAGATTCAGTCTTCCCAGCCTGGTGCAGGTCTACAATTTTGTTTCTGGTGTCCTTTGACAGCTCTTTGGTCTTGGCCATAGTGGAGTTTGGAGTGTGACTGTTTGAGGTTGTGGACAGGTGTCTTTTATACTGATAACAAGTTCAAACAGGTGCCATTAATACAGGTAACGAGTGGAGGACAGAGGAGCCTCTTAAAGAAGAAGTTACAGGTCTGTGAGAGCCAGAAATCTTGCTTGTTTGTAGGTGACCAAATACTTATTTTCCACCATAATTTGCAAATAAATTCATAAACAATCCTACAATGTGATTTTCTGAAGAAAAAAAATCTCAATTTGTCTGTCATAGTTGACGTGTACCTATGATGAAAATTACAGGCCTCTCTCATCTTTTTAAGTGGGAGAACTTGCACAATTGGTGGCTGACTAAATACTTTTTTCCCCACTGTACCTGTCTGTCTTTGCAGACAGATATACTTGTTTTTGCAATTGTATTTGCACAATTGATCATCCAAATCGTGAAATAATCAGATATCACTTGGATCTGTTGCATCTTTTGTTATTGAAGTCTTTATCATACCAGACTGTTATGCTAAGACTAGGTCAGACATTCAAATTACCATTTCCTTTTTTACTGGCCACAATTTACCTGACGGCTCGGTGTAGTAGGCCTATTATTGCACAATCAAAGAATGAGAGTTGGGAATGCTTTTCCTGGAACTTGACAGTGAAGCTGACATTTTAGCAGTGATGCTGTTTAATCAACAAGATGCAGCAGACAGCTGAGCCAGCACTTTCCCAAAGATGCTGGGAAGTTTTGGGAGAGCAGAGTTAGAGAGGAAACTGATTGGTCTGCATCATAAACTGAGGAGGCAGGTGCTGTCTAACCAATGAAGTAATCCACTATTTTTGAGTAATCCAATAGATTTAGTTACTGCATTTTTCAAGTAATCTGCCCAACCCTGGAGAAGTCACATCCAAACGTACCAATGTGCATATACAACTTACTTATCATAATATCTCAACATTATTGTTTTTACTTTAGTATTTTAAGTAATTCCACATTTCTTAACTGTTTTGAATTATTCAATAATGTTTCAAAGACATACAGTGCCTATAGAAAGTCTACACCTGTTGAACTTTTTTCACATTTTGTTGTGTCAGCACCCCAGAGTTTCATGCATTTAAATAAGGAATTTTCCTTTCCCCCTACTTACAGTTGAAGTCTGAAGTTTACATACACCTTAGCCAAATACATTTAAACTCAGTTTTTCACAATTCCTGACATTTAATCCTAGTAAAAGTAAAAGTTTACATACACCCAATTAGTATTTGGTAGCATTGCCTTTAAATTGTTTAACTTGGGTTAAACGTTTCGGGTAGCCTTCCACAAGCTTCCCACAATAAGTTGGGTGAATTTTGGCCCATTCCTCCTGACAGAGCTGGTGTAACTGAGTCAGGTGTGTAGGCCTCCTTGCTCGCACATGCTTTTTCAGTTCTGCCCACACATTTTCTATAGGATTGAGGTCAGGGCTTTGTGATGACCACTCCAATACCTTGACTTTGTTGTCCTTAAGCCATTTTGCCACAACTTTGGAAGTATGCTTGGGGTCATTGTCCATTTGGAAGACCCATTTGTGACCAAGCTTTAACTTCCTGACTGATGTCTTGAGATGTTGCTTCAATATATCCACATAATTTTCCTTCCTCATGATGCCATCTATTTTGTGAAGTGCACCAGTCCCTCCTGCAGCAAAGCACCCCCACAGCATGATGCTGCCACCCCTGTGCTTCACGGTTGGGATGGTGTTCTTCGGCTTGAAAGCAACCCCCTTTTTCCTCCAAACATAACAATGGTCATTATGACCAAACAGTTATAGACCAGAGGACATTTCTCCAAAAAGTAAGATCTTTGTCCCCATGTGCAGTTGCAAACCGTAGTCTGGCTTTTTAATGGCGGTTTTGGAGCAGTGGCTTCTTCCTTGCTGAGCGGCCTTTCAGGTTATGTCGATATAGGACTCGTTTTACTGTGGATATAAATACTTTTGTACCTGTTTCCTCCAGTCCTTTGCTGTTGTTCTGGGATTGATTTGCACTTTTCGCACCAAAGTACGTTCATCTCTAAGAGACAGAACGTGTCTCCTTCCTGAGCGGTATGACGGCTGCGTGGTCCCATGGTGTTTATACTTGCTTACTATTGTTTATACAGATGAACGTGGTACCTTCAGGCATTTGGAAATTGCTCCCAAGGATGAACCAGACTTGTGGAGGTCTAAAAAAAAAATTCTGAGGTCTTGGCTGATTTCTTTTGATTTTCCCATGATGTCAAGCAAAGAGGCACTGAGTTTGAAGGTAGGCCTTGAAATACATCCACAGGTACACCTCCAATTGACTCAAATGATGTCAATTAGCCTATCAGAAGCTTCTAAAGCCATGACATCATTTTCTGGAATTTTCCAAGCTGTTTGAAGGCACTGTCAACTTAGTGTATGTAAACTTCTGACCCACTGGAATTGTGATACAGTGAATTATAAGTGAAATAATCTGTCTGTAAACAATTGTTGGAAAAATTACTAGTTTCATGCACAAAGTAGATGTCCTAACCAACTTGCCAAAACTATAGTTTGTTAACAAGAAATTTGTGGAGTGCTTGAAAAACGAGTTTTAATGACTCCAACCTAAGTGTATGTAAACTTCCGACTTCAACTGTATCTACACACCATATTGTTTTTATTGTGAAAAAAAGTATATATAAAAAATACAAAAATGAAATATCATAATTGGATAAGTCTCCACCCCCCTGAGTTAATATTTAGTGGAAGCACTTTGGCAGCAATTACAGCTGGAGGCTGTTGGGATAAGTCTCTACCAACTTTTCACATCTAGATTTGTCAATATTTTACCGTTCTTCTTTACATAACTGTTCAAGCTCTGTCAAGTTCCTTGGAGAGCGTTGATGGACAGCAATCTTCAAGTCATGACACACATTTTTCGATTGGATTTAGGTTGGGACTGACTGGGCCACTAAAGGACATTTACCTTTTTATTCCTTAGCCCCGCCACTGTAGCTTTGGCTGTGCGCTTCGGGTCATTGTCATGCTGAAAGGTGAACTTCCATCCAAGTATCAGCTTTCTTGCAGAGGGCAGCAGGCTTTCCTCAAGGACTTTTCTCTACATTGCTCCATTTATTTTACCTTATATCCTGGGGCCTTATTTATAAATGTTGTGCCTATTTTAAAGTAATTCAATATCAATTTCTGAAAAGACTGTGCACGCACACAAATATTGAGATTCATAAACTTGGTGCACGCCATACATACACGTTTCCCATTATAAATCAGACCTGTCATAAAACTGTGCGCGCATGAACGATCATTATGACTCCACCTGAGTAATGACCATCATTCACCTTTTATGGTGACAATAACCCCCTTATTTGTTGTATACTTTGGAAATATTTGAATTAGGCCAAGACAGTATCCAAAGGAAATAGCAATTGCGAACTTGATCAAATGTCTTTCAAGGTTTTTGCAGAATGTTTTCTTTTGCAGTGACATTTGCTGTATCTGGCCATTTCTGAAAGACAAAAACAATTGTAAATTGTTGTGGACCTGTAAACCGATCGTTTGAATTCAATAATGTTTTTCATTAAATTTTTCCCGAACCTAAATATGCTGCACGGCCCGCGAATTCTGGAACATTGTCTACTCTGAAAAATATAGAAAATACAGTAGGCCTACTTACAGTGGTAGCCTGCGCACTTCCATGCGAAATATCAACTGTCTGTTCAACTGTTAAATGCTACTGTATGTTATAGGGCTACTTTTGCCTTCTTGCAATACAATACTTCAACCACTAGAAACTGTGCGTAGCTTATGCATGGTCTAAAGTTTGCGGGAGGATAAGCACTTTTCTCACGTCAAATTCAGTTTTTATAAATGCCAAATTTTGCGTGAAAACTGGCGCACGCATGTTTTGGGGCATATTTTGAGCTTACACAACATTTAGAAATGAGGCCCCTGATGAGTGCCACAGTCTTTGACGATGAGAAACATCCCCATAACATGATGCTGCCACCACCATGCTTCACAGTAGGGACGGTGTTGTTTGGGTGATGTGCCATGTTGGGTTTGCGCCAAATATAACACTTGTCATTTAGGCCAAAAGGTTCCGTTTTAGTTTTCGTCAGACCACAAAACTTTTTGCCACATGGCTACAGAATCTCCCGAGTGTTTTTTTTGTTTGCATACTTCAAGTGGGATTGAAGGTGGGATATCTTGAGTAATGGCTTTCTTCTTGCCACCCTATCATACATGCCAGATTTGTGGAGCAGAGGAGGCTGGTGGGAGAAGCTATAGGAGGACATGCTCATTGTAATGGCTGGAATGGAATAAATGGAAACTGAGTCAAACGTGGTTTCCATATGTTTTGATGTTTGATACGTGGTTTCCATATGTTTTGATGTTTGATACCGTTCCATATATTCCATTCCAGCCATTACAATGAGCCTGTCCTCCTATAGCTCCTCCCACCAGCCTCCACTGTTGTGGCTTGGGATATTGTTGTCACAAGCACACTTTGACCAGTCTTGGCCATAAAAGCCTGTAGCTCTTTCAATGTTGCCATTAGACTCTTGCTAGCCTCTTTGATCAGTCTCCTACTTGCTCGGTCATCCAGTTTGGAGGGACAGTCTGATCTAGGTAGGGTCTTGGTCTTGCCATACACCATCCACTTCTTAATAATTGTCTTGACCGTGCTCCAAGGGATATTCAAGGCCTTTGAAATATTTGTATACCCATCCCCTGATCTGTGCTTGGTCCCGGAGTTCTTTTGAATAATATAATATAAAATGTATTTATAATAAAATGTTTGTATACTGCTCTAGACGAGATCTGCATGGAGGAATGGGCCAAAATACCAGCAACAGTGTGTGAAAACCTTGTGAAGACTTACAGAAAACGTTTGACCTGTGTCATTGCCAACAAAGGGTATATAACAAAGTATTGAGAAACTTTTGTTATTGACCAAATACTTATTTTCCACCATAATTTGCAAATAAATTCATAAAAAATCCTACAATGTGATTTTCAGGATTTTTTCCCCTCATTTTGTCTGTCATAGTTGACGTGTACCTATGATGAAAATTACAGGCCTCTCTCATCTTTTTAAGTTGGAGAACTTGCACAATTGGTGGCTGACTAATTACTTTTTTTCCCCACTGTAGATTTTAGTGTACACATTTTCATGGAAACTAGAGATTTAGCTGAGTAAGCAGCTGACCTGTAATGTGTGTCATCCCAGTGCATGAGAAGTGAACTGGATGGAGCTGTGTTGACTACTGTCATTTTGACACAAAGATTCTGATGAAAGGTGGAATGATTCAGTTCTCCATAATTTGGCAGTGTTTATATTTCAAATAGATTAGAACAGCAATTCCCGGACTGTGTGGGTCAGCACAGCTTTCAGAAAACCTGCCATTTTAGTGTGTTTGAGGCAAACACTTGCATCTTGATATTAGATGAAGTAATCTAAAATGTAATCAACTGTTTTTAAGAATGTAACTGTAATCTGATTAAACAATTTCTTTAAAGTAATCTGTTCTGATTTCAATTACTTCATTTTTTAAAATCTGATTATGTAATCCCTGTTATGCGTTAGTACCAAACCCTGCTCTTCTCTCACAGTACAATGTCACTGACATTGGAAGAAGGCCGAGCTCCTTTTGAAACAATTGACCCCTTTCAAGACAGAGTGCCTCGTGGCAAATTTTCTACATTCTTGAGAAGATTGAATGGTCAAGGGCCAACTTTGATCACTCATCATTTTCACTATTATAAAACATCAGTATAGTGGTACATGTAGTATGCAAGGACTGGAGGGCAATGTTATTAATGGTTTTGATTAGGTCTATTTGTTCTGCAATTGTAAGTGGAAGTTATCCTTCACTTAAAAAATAAATAATAATTATATCAAGTAATCACTCATCTTGGTGATGTTTCACACTCAAATTATAGTAGTGCTGAGAAGTTACTTACAAGCTACTTACATAAAGCACGCTTACTTAACCAGCAAGATCACAATCCTTCTCAGATTTCAACAGTGACTGAAGCATGAGAGACTCCCGTTATTTTAAAGGGGAGGAGTTGGGAGTAGTAAGTGTTCCTCTCCCATTCACACACCAGCATACACAGATGGAGGCTACTCAGTCTTGACAAAGCGTGGAGACCGTAGAAGCTTTGCTGGACACGAGGACCTGAAGGAAGAGAAGGATAAGAAAGGAGAGAAGGAGAGGGGGATAATAATGGAGTGCAAGGAGAATGTGATCCACTACCTCAGCTGGGGGTTCATCGTCGGTGGGGTGGCGTATCTCCTTCGGCAGACCAGGACCCAGACCCAGTACGGACGCTACGTGACCTCGGATGGGACCCCAGGGAGGACCTGCCCTGCCAAGCTGGCCTGGTTCCTCCAGGAGCTGCCTTCTTTCCTGGTGCCCATGCTCCTTCTGCTCTCCACCGACACACAGCCCAGCCTGGGCAAAGACTTGCTTCTCTGGACCTTCTGTCTGCACTACTTCCAAAGGTATGTGTCCACATTAGCCTGGTCCCCACTTGGCTAGACGGCAGAATTAGGTCTGTGATGGTGGGACCAGACATGTCCACATACCAACTTGCAATGGAGTCTGGAATCTTTTAACTCATAAATCAGCTGAAACACACGGACAACGTTTTTTGGGCAACAGCAGTCATTTCACTTAAAAGGTGTTGAACATATGTCTTTGCCTCCTACACAGTTGATCTTTGTGTGTGCAATACAAATGCAGGCCATTCAATGAAAAGAGTCCCCTATTCACTATTTTGAGTGAAGACTAGAGGGACATTCCACGCCCCGGTAAAAGAGTGAGGCTTAGACTCAGATTTGTATCTTTAAATGTATGATGGTATAAACAGAAAAAAACAATCTGTTACAAAACTTTGCATTTGCATTGTACTTCAAGTAAATTTTTTTGTACAATTTCCAGTGGAAATTGTAGAAATTAAGCCTTGTGCATATACCGTAATTTTCGGACTATAAGCCGCGCCTTTTTTCCAATTTTTCGACCCTGCGGCTTATATAACGGTGCGGCTAATCTATGGATTTTTACAGCTAACGGCCACTAGAAGACCTCCTAAATCTATGGATTTTACAGGTTACAGTCCACCAATTTTAACTCTATGGGCTCTATGACCGGTCCGCGCCCCCCACCTTTAAGCGGCGGGCTCCGGCAGGAAAAGCTGGAGGCCGGAAAAGAGTGAGGTAGCGCACAAAAGTAAAAGTGGAACCAAGAGTGGTACGAGAGACAGAACGAGAGACAGAACGACAGCAAGACAGACAGACATTATGAGAGCGAGACAGTTTGTCTCTTTCCCGACAATCCCCTCTGTGCACGAACCCTTACATATGGTAATTAAACATTAAAACACCTGCGGCTTATAGTCCAGTGCGGCTTATATATGTACGCATCATTCAATATCATTCAATGTAGCTGCTGCGGCTTATACTCCGGTGCGCCTTATAGTGCGGAAAATACAGTAGTTGTATGGTTTGTTTAACTTTGCAATTATTTTTTGAGTCTCAGCGTCACTCTGCATGGTCACTATTAAGAGGTCATCCTGCCTGGTTTCCTAATAAGGGGATGAATCACATTCAACAGAACATGACTAATTTGGTTGGTAAATGTCCTCATTCTGGAGGTTCCATGTATGCCACTGTTCTGAATTGTGTCATTTGAAAATGAAAGTAAGAAATCTCAGCAACGGAACTATTTTGTAACTCAATTAAGCATGAAATCTGACTGCTGATAGACTGCCGATAGGTACTTATCACAGTAGGAGACCATTCCATCTCTTTCTTGAAACAAAATATGTAATGTGCGCCTAGACATGCAGACCATACTTGCTTCAAAGTTACAGAAAGCTACTCGGCTCTGCCTCGTCGTCCATTATTTCCGAGATAATGTACAGAACGTCAGCGTTTATTCCTTACGTATACCCACTTTTTTTTGTGAGCACTTCTTACTACGATGCGTATCAAAGTAGTGTAGCGGAGGTATACGTCATATCAATTAATAAGACTGATAGAACAGATCAGAATGTTAGATCCAAATGTTTTTTTTTTTTTTTTTTTTAGGGGGTAGATCAGCTTTAATATTGCATCTAGATTGTAACTTCCATCAATGTAATTGTTTGCATCACTTCCAATCCCCCATATGTTTTTTTTCTTCTCGCAAATATATATATACACATACATACAATCACATACATATACATATCCTTTTACTTTCCAACCCCACCACCCCTTCCCTAATTGGAGTAAACTAGTGAACAACAATGCTTAGACCTCTACTTCCAGCTTATACATACTATATACATTTTATGGACACAGTCAATTTTACAATAATTCTTTTTTGTTTGTTTTTACTCCTGAACTTCCTTTACTCTCAACCTCTCTGATCATTTTCATGATGTCCATCCGGTTTGCTTCTATATGCCATATCTTTCTAACTGTGCTCTTTCACAAAAGCTCTCAACCTATAACCTATATACTTATTATGGACACAGTATGCTTACATTATTAGTTATCTTGTTGTTATTAGTTGTTATTAGTCCAATCCTTCAACTCCATTCAACACCACCCATCTATCTCTTAACACCATCCATATTGGATTTCTATTTGCGATATATTTTTCAACTGTACTGTGATGTTTTACAAAAGTTCTGAACCTTTCTATTCTCTAGATCAAAATGTTGATAAACTATTTATTTCTTCACATTTTCTACACAGTTATGTGCACACGGCGGTAGGCCTAGAATGATGTGAACGTTCCAAAATGCAATTTGTGGGAAAACACCATTCTAAAATGTGCACCGCACATGCGAGCGGTTTAATGTACAGAGATGGAAATATCCGTTGCTAATTTCTTTTTATTTATTTATTTATTTAACCGTTGCTAATATGACTAGGATAATGCATTTGTCTGCTAGACAATGAAAGTTGCTTTGAAAACCAATAGAACAGGAGAGGGCATATGAGGAAATCTTTATAAAATAATTGCCGCCACGTTTCTATGGTGGGATTTTGCCTAAAGGCTACTTTGAAGCAAGGTAAGACATGCCTCATAATATGAAGTAAAACGTTCAGGTTTCAAACAATTAAGGCACAGGAAAAATATAGCGAAGCCAATGATAGGCCTAACTGTCTTCTGGTAGATGAAAAGGCTTTCCCAAAAACCTTCTCAATTAAATGTTAACTAGCTACAAAGTATCTTATGCCGACCTAGCAGAATGGTATTATGATTATTTGCATCAATCCAGTGGCCATTTGTTTTGCAAACTCAATCTCATGTGCACTACAGACACACAGCTAGGTGCCTGGATAGTTGAATTAAAGGGTAACTACACTCAAGAATCTACATTTCTTCGATCTTTCCCAGACCTCAAAAGTGGTCTCCTGATGTTGTTTAAGCATTGTTGTGGACTTAGAACATCCCATTTTGTTGTTGTCCCCCATGGTCTCCGTCCATCCATTTATCCCTTAGTCACACGCTATATCTCAGACAGCACTGGCCCGATTTTGATGACTGGGCCCAAAATCTGTCTTCTCCATCAGGTGGCGTTTGTTCTTTGGCACATGACATGGAGTACAGGGAGTGGATCAGCTAAAGAGACTGCAGGCTCAACATTCAGGGCTGCCGGCTAATCGGGCCAGTTAATCAACCTTTCATATGGCCCGCTTGGGCCAGTACATTTTCAAACTCCAAAACAAAACCAAAACAAAATATATACAGTACCAGTCAAAAGTTTGGACACACCTACTCATTCAAGGGTTTTTCTTTATTTTTACATTGTAGAATAATAGTGAAGACATCAAAACTATGAAATAACACATATGGAATCATGTAGTAACCAAAAAGTGTTAAACAAATCTAGGTATATTTTATATTTGAGATTGTTCAAATAGCCATCCTTTGCCTTGATGACCACTTTGCACACTCTTGGCATTCTCTCAACCAGCTTCACCTGGAATGCTTTTCCAACAGTCTTGAAGGAGTTCCCACATATGCTGAGCACTTGTTGGATGCTTTTCCTTCACTCTGCCGTCCGACTCATCCCAAACCATCTCAATTGGGTTGAGGTCGGGGGATTGTGGAGGCCAGGTCATCTGATGCAGCACTCCATCACTCTCCTTCTTGGTAAAATAGCCCTTACACAGCCTGGAAGTGTGTTGGGTCATTGTCCTGTTGAAAAACAAATGATAGTCCCACTAAGCGCAAACAAGATGGGATGGCGTATCGCTGCAGAATGCTGTGGTAGCCATGCTGGTTAAGTGTGCCTTGAATTCTAAATAAATCACAGACAGTGTCACCAGCAAAGCACCCCCACACCATAACACCTCGTCCTCCATGCTTTACGGTGGGAACTACACATGCAGAGATGATCCGTTCACCCACACTGCGTCTCACAAAGACACGGCGGTTGAAACAAAAAATCTCCAATTTGGACAAATTTCCACCGGTCTAATGTCCATTGCTCGTGTTTCTTAGCCCAAGCAGGTCTCTTCTTCTTATTGGTGTCCTTTAGTAGTGGTTTCTTTGCAGCAATTCGACCATGAAGGCCTGATTCACACAGTCTGAACAGTTGATTTTGAGATGTGTCTGTGACTTGAACTCTGTGAAGCCTTTGGGCTGCAATTTCTGAGGCTGGTAACTCTAATTAACTTATCCTCTGCAGCAGAGGTAACTCTGGGTCTTCCATTCCTGTGGCGGTCCTCATGAGAGCCAGTTTCATTATAGCGCTTGATGGTTTTTGCAACTGCACTTGAAGAAACGTTCAAAGTTCTTGAAATGTTCCGTATTGACTGACCTTCATGTCTTAAAGTAATGATGGACTGTCATTTATCTTTACTTATTTGAGCTGTTCTTGCCATAATATGGCCTTGGTCTTTTACCAAATAGGGCTATCTTCTGTGTACCCCCCTACGTTGTCACAACACAACTGATTGCCTCAAACGCATTAAGGAAAGAAATTCCACAAATTAACCTTTAAGAAGGCACACCTGTTAATTGAAATGCATTCCAGGTGACTACCTCATGAAGCTGGCTGAGAGAATGCCAAGAGTGTGCAAAGCTGTCATCAAGGCAAAGGGTGGCTATTTGAAGAATCTCAAATCTCAAATATATTTTGATTTGTTTAACACTTTTTTGGTTACTACATGATTCCATATGTGTTATTTCATAGTTTTGATGTCTTCACTATTATTCTACAATGTAAAAAATAGTAAAAAATAAATAAAACCCTTGAATGAGTAGGTGTGTCCAAACTTTTGACTGGTAGTGTATATATATATTTGTATTTAATCCTTCAAAATCTTCCCGATGTCTGATGCTTCACACTTGTTATCAACCAGCAACCGGTTTGAATGGCAAGAATGTCAAAGCCTTCCCTCTCCGTCTCGAGTGACTCCGCCTCAGTAGGCTACATCCTGGATCCTCGCACCAGACCCGTCTCAGCGGAGGCGGGAACACCATCAATTCAGAGTTGAACATCGCCACGCACATTCAAAAGTCCCCCACCTGCTCCCCCACTTGCTTCTCAGTCGTTTTCCCTATAAGACACAGCGATGTCATTATTAGCAAAGAAAGGTTTACATAGGCCTACACTATGGAGCTGCTTGCTTGTCAAGACATGAACATTATTTACTCAAATCACTTGTTGGTTCAATACAAAATTAATATTGTAATAATTATATTCTGTAGTCTAGGCCTATATAATTGTTTAATACGAGTCTATTGTCACACCCGTGCGTCAAATGAACATAATAAAAAAATCCCCATCAAAATCCGTCTCAATCCATCACCTCTGAGTTGGAAAGTGGCAGAGCTACAGCGCTGTTCGTCAGACCAGGAGACATCCCGAAAATCGGTCTTCTCACGAAAACGTCTGTAGCGTCAGAACGGTTTTGCTCTACAACCCCCGCAAGCCCCACGGGACTCGTCTGAAGGTAACCCATACAAATTAATGGAAGTATGGAGGTATTTTTGTGGCAACAAAAATAAGGGGTTAAATGTGTCCAAAAAACAAAAGTATTTCCAGATATTTTTTTTTTATATCTCCTAGATATTTACATTTACATTTTAGTCATTTAGCAAGATATAGGACAGACACTTCAAAACCTTATTCCTTATGATTTTTAAAATGGTCTTTTTGTGTGCAATTTATGAATGTTATTTAATACATTTCTATAGTAAAGTGGTCCTAAAATTCTAACGCAAATTATCCATGGTATGACCATCTTAAAACAATTCCATATGTTAGCTCCATATGTTTTCTATTAAAAGTGTGAGAGTAACCACGTTTCCAGCCACAGTTTTTATGTGAGTAAAGTCATAGCATATATATACAAAAATCAGGACAGCTGTGATGGAAACAGAAGTTTCAGTACAATTTTATAAATGTCGACAGATAATTTGTTCATTCGACATGCTGTGATCTTTTTGTGTCTGTAAAATGTATTATGTGAGAAATGGCGGTGGAAACGCCTTTAAGCTCAAATATTGATATAACCATCATATCCAAGTGAAAGTGCACGGTGATGAGCTTGACGCTCCTTTCCAATAAATATCGAGGGTCTTATTCTGATGACATGATGATCGATGCTTGACTGCCGTTTGACAAATACAAATATTCTCGCTCTTATCCATAAGAATCTCATCATGTAGCCTAGACTAGCATCTGTGAGCTGTTGGCTAGAACGCACGTGAGTAGGCAAGACCAGAGTAGGCACATTTGCTATTTAACGCAACAGTTTTTGTGACAAAACTATCAGTAGAGTTGAAAATGCAATGGAAACACATTGAACCTTAGAATTTTATTTGGCACATGAAAAAGTACATTTTGTGCGCACTATGTCATCACCTACTGCTTTTTATCCGCAACAAGTCTGTCTGGTGGAAACCTGGTGGAAACACACTACTGGTGGGAAAATGTGCATATTTTCTTTATGCAGGTTTTAGAATATTGCATGAACATTTTTCGGCAATTGGATGGAAACCTAGCTTTTGAGAGCGAAAACCTGAAACCTGTGAATTTCTGAGTCAGTTGGCAGTCTCATTCATCTATTTCAATAATAAGCCTACTATTAGCTTACTTGCACAAAACAGCTTGGGTTGGCCTGACTGTGAAAGTGTATGTCACTGTTTGTCATATAATTTTTCACACAGGGCGCCTTTCCTTCACCGGGCAGGCCGTTTGGGAAATGTTTGTAAAAATTAGAGTATACCCACTTCTCCAGGCACCACTACACCACTGGACGTACCTGCTGCGTACCGACCTGGTTCTGACGAACCTGCCGTTTCTACTTGTAGAATCACAATGCTCGGCAGTGGCCGACAACTTGACTTTGAGCCAATCAGATAGCACAAACATGTTGCGTTTATATTTTTGTTCAGTGTAAAACAAAGCTGCATAATACATATTTTGTTCTAGAGCAAGTCTTTACATCTTTTACGTCTATCTAAGGAGTTTTTTGCTTGAAAAATGATTTTGTTAGGTTTGATAATGTGCACTAGCTTCGTAGTTAGTGAGCTAACGTTAGCTTGCTAACTGAGCAAGGCAGTCACACACACTTCATATGAAATGAATGGGGTAGTAAGTGAAGCACAATGCACACAACACTAAATGCTTTACCAAGCTAGCTATCTAGCCACTGCTAGTAACATTATAATTAAATCACAATGGTTTAGTTTCCATGAAGCAGCTGCCTGTAGCTGGCTGCCGAGAGTCAATGCAGTGTCTTTACTTGACCTAGCTAGCACAAGAGCTAGCTAGCTAGCGAAACATGTTAACCATTTAACTAAAGTTAGCCAGCTAGCTAAAAATGTATCTATGGGCTGTATGCGATTATGGAGTGTGAATTAAATTGTTTCTTTGTCATCTTGCTAGTTAGTTATATAGCTGTGGCCATCTATCTAGTATCAGCAAGGGCTTTCTACAACATTACCGCAGCTAGCTAACATTGACTTGACCATAAAGCAACACACATGGACATGCCTTCCCAAACATTGCTACTGCCACCTTCTGGTGTGGAGTATTTTAACAAGGCTGAGTGGCTGACGACTTCAAGGTCTTTGCTGTGTGAACACAAAAGAGATTGACTGCCGACACTCTGTTCAGAGGTGTTAAGTACTGTCGGCAGGCAAACGTTTGACAATCCTACCGGTGTGTCTGAGCTCTTACATAGTCAAAACCTATGGAGAACTCTCAAAGGAGACCTGGTGTGAACATATTTACATGGTAGGGAATTAGAACGTGCATAAAACTCACAACTGCCCTTAAACCAGGTCAGCACACTTCCATTAATGTATGTTAGTCACCACATTTCTTCTCGTCATCATATCTGCTGCCATATCAAACTTTACTCAACAGGGTCATGTCCAGTATGGAGAAACATTTTTGAAACGGGGAGGTAATACCTGAACTTGTCCAATAAGAAACAATAATTGTTGTTCTGTAACAATATTTTGTGCCCCACTGAACATGACCCAGGGCTTTGTTGTGAGCCACCAAGCACATAAGCCCTTACCTGGAGCTCACTCAAATGACAGAAGAGGAAGGAGCAGAAGTCAGAATAGAAGTGCCCCAGGGTGTGACTCAAATCATGTTCCACTGTTTACTAGTGTTACAGGGAATGGGGAGTATGTAGATTGACTAGAGGCCCAGGGTGTAAGGAGAAGGGAGGGGAACCATTATACAGTACCTACTCGATCAGTATAGGGCACAACTTTGAAGATAGAAATGTAATGAAGAGATGACGTGATCCCTTATTCTACTTGTTACAGGGGAATGTTTGTTCTACATATTCTATTTCTATCTACGTTAAGAAACACGGCCCTGCATGGCTTCCAGTTACTCACATTGTTTGTCCACAGCAGTGCTATATTGACTAATCTTTGACTACTTTATCAATATTTTTCTATTTTTTGCAAGAACGTTCATCTACTCCTTGCTGACCAAAGGCCGCCCTTCCCCTCTCTACATTGTCTTCTCTGCGGTAGTCTTCTGCACCGTCAACGGTTTTCTCCAAGGCCACTACATGCTCCACTGTGCCACGTACGATGATGCGTGGCAGACCGACATTCGTCTGGGCACCGGTAAGTGAGATCTTAGATCCAAGCGGAAATGGTTTAGCAGTCTTTTCCCAGCACTTATTCTGAATATTACAGTGCCTGGATGATGTTCACAGACATTTGACAGTCATTTGGTATCCTATGTTGAAGCCCTAAATAAATGCTATAGATTTATTTCCAAAGTAATTAATTTCACCCTTTAAAGGGTAACATTTGATAACTGCTAGAGCTACTGTAGATTAAGTCTGAGATCAAAAACAGTTCTCCCAAAAAATTGTTAGGAAAACACACAAGGGGAAAACCAGCCGTTGCAGTCTGGGGACTCTAATCTGGCCAGAGAACTTTGTGGCTTTCAGCCTGGAACTGTGACAAAACAAGTTGGCATTCGCTTCCTCCTTGTCAACGTTCTGTGTTTATTGGTCAGTTAATGAGGCTAGATTCTTCAAAACATGCATTTTTTGGTCCCAGCAGGATATGGGATGATAATTTTGACAGTATTCATATTTTGACAGTATTCATCCACAAGAATAGAAATAATGATTTGTTGACAAAGTCTGAGTTTGGGGTCGCATTGCACAAGCTTCTGCCAGCATGAAAGCTTTTAACAGCTTGTTTTTATAGAACTAGAATGTGGTTTGCGTTAAGTGCCTGTATTTTTTTTTCAGGTTTGCTGATGTTTTTCCTGGGAATGGCCATCAACATTCACAGCGACCACATTCTTCTAAATTTGAGAAAACCCGGAGAGGTTGTTTATAAGATTCCCAAAGGTACCAGATGGAATTCTGTATAACAGATGTCAGGCAGTGTTTCGGCAACTGTTCTAGTCTTGTGAAACAATAGCAAAAACGTGACTCTTTTGCCAAATAACCATGTTCTGTACTCTTTACTTAGTCACTGTCTGCACAGCCATGTGATGATAAACAGAAGAAGCAGAGCATATTCAGAACATTCTGGTGTCAATGTGACCTTTTGCATTGATCTCTACTTCCTTTTGCTTTGTAAGCACTATGCCTGTGTTGATCAAAAGATGTTTAAAGGCCCAGTGCAGTCAAAAATCCGTTTTTCCTGTGTTTTATATCATACTGTACAACAGCTGATGAAACTAACACTGTAAAAGTGTGAAGAAATAATAATTTCCTGATAATTGCTGGTTGAAAATACAATCTACATAGGACCTTCTATTCAGCAAGTTTGCATGGGCAGGAGTTTTGGCTTTCCATGGTGATATGCCCATGTAAAAAAATGGGTTAATAGACCAATAACAGAGTTCCAAACCTCTCTGCCAATAACAGCTAGTTTTCAGTTTCCCCCTCCCCACTCAGACCACTCACAGATAGTCCTAGCAAAATTATTGCTTGAGAAATAATTGTTGTTGTTGTTGTTCCTAAAAAGCTATGTTTGCCCCATTTTAATAGCTATCTATTACAGTAAGGTACTTAATTGTTACCCAGAAATGATTTGATATTGATTATAAAAACAGCTGCATTGGGCTTTTAAGTGCCCTATGTAATCACCAGGGTCATATAAGATTGTGAGCAATGTAAACAAGGCATTCAAAGTTTGGCCAAGAAACTTCAGACACAGGAAGAAAACATTCCAGCTTTCTGGGCCATTACCTCACGGAAAGGTTCAAAAGGAACATCTTGCAACTATTATCAGAACCATGCGGCAAAAGCTAGAGAAAGATGAAACAGCGATGAAGGCCACAGCAGATTTGTTTTCACCCACCTTTGGGTGAATTAACTATCCAAGTAGTATATTCAAACATGGAGCCCTTGACATGGGGTGCTGGGTCCAAAAAAGGTAGTAGACATGAAGTAAGGTCTGAAAGGTCAGGGATTGAAATGTTGCGAACTACTCTCAAGGTATGAGTGTAAAGACCCTACTTCATTACTACTGAATTAACTGTCTGACACTTTTTATTCCAGGGGGAATGTTTGAGTATGTCTCCGGAGCAAACTTCTTTGGAGAGATTCTGGAGTGGTGCGGGTACGCCCTAGCAACGTGGTCCCTGCCGACGTTCTCCTTTGCCCTTTTCACTATGTGCTCGATTGGACCGCGGGCCTACCACCACCACAGGTACTGACAGGTCCAACTTCTAGAGCCTTCTGTAATCTCGTCATGCTCATTCTCCCACTGATACATGTTCACTGGTATTGATACAATGTATAGGTCTTTCAGCGAAGCAATAAGCATGGACTGTGTTGATATTTTACAATGGAAAAGCATGGTGGTAGGATTCCTTCAATCTGACATTCTCTTCTCTTTCAGGTACTACCAAGAGAAGTTTAAAGACTACCCTCGGTCGAGGAAAGCTGTGATACCTTTCATATTATAAGAAGAACAACAAACCAGAGAAGCCGGAACAAATGGACTGACCTAGCTAAAATCATTAGTCATAGCCATGATATTGGCGTTTACTGAACTCTTAAATGAAATGCTTGTCCTATATTGCTCTTTTCTGTGGAGCCCATTTTACCAGGCTTTAGCTTTCATTAAGTAGACATATTGAACCTATCATCTCATTGTAGTCAGAGCTAGATGATATTCCACACTTGCAGCAACAGATCTGTAATGCCATTCTTCCATAGGCTTGGAGGAATGAATTATGTACCAGCATTCAGCATGGTCAAAGCTCAATGAAGGATAAAGAATTCATGGGGAAGAGAAAGGGGGGCGGTGGGGGTGTCTTGAAAGAATAAAGGAAAAACATGTTTTATATCGAAAGGGATGACTGACTGCCTTTTCCTCTTTGTGCAAAAACGGATCTCTTGGACAGATTAACTACTTCACTTTTGGAAAGGCTCATTAAAGCTCTGCTTATTTACCTTGGGTCTGAAAAAAAACCACATGGTTTGTTTTTCTTATGCAGTTAATCAAATATTATGTGATTAATAACTGCTGCATATATTATTACACTTTTTAATTTCATGCTTGCTTGGTTGATTAGGTAAGTCCAAAGGCAATGCCATCCTTCATTGGGTGGGACAAAGGCTCAGCTTACTGGAAATCATGTAAATGGAATATCTGGCTAAGCAGTGACATTCATCAATCAATTAAGTTCCAGAGAGTTGGCAAACATTGCCACCCTCGGGAACTAGAGTCGAGCTACTGCATCACCTGATGTTCTTGACAGACAAGCTTAACAGTACTGTTATGACATGACAGTAGTTGTAATCCTCCAATTCCACCCCTAGAGGGTAGTATAAGCTTTTTCATGTGGGTATCATGTTTTAGAGAGCACAACAACATATTCCACTAAAAGAAGACATTGGCCACATCAATATTTCAATCCAAGGTGGCTTTCTAATTTCCTTCATTGACATTGATCTAATTTCCTTCATTGGCACTGCTCTGGAGAAAGAGCAGTGCTGATGACGGAAAATATTAAACTCTTTCCACATTACTGAGCCAGCCGAGCTTTATTGCACAGGCCTGGTTACGCATTCACCATAGTTGCTGGAACCATGCTGGAAAGGGGCATGTGAAAATAAAATTAATGAACCAGCACAGTACGGTTTGGGTCAGCACAAGAGTGTGAAAAAGGCCTTAGAGATGTTTGGGATTAAACATGTTAGGAATGGAGGTCCCAATATTGCACTCAATTGCAATGGTACTTAAACCAACTCCTTGTCCTAATTTAATATAATCTCAAATGTTGTTTCAATGGAAATAATCAAATGTTTGTGTTTCATGGCTGACATTTTAAATGTAATCGATTATGTGATGTCTGTAAAGTGTCTTGAGATGCAGCCCTGGTCTTCCCTGGGTGAAATATGTTCACCTGTAAGCAAATTACTCTGCAGTTTGACCTATTGTGAAATTCATCGTTTTATTTGATCTCTAACAGAGGAATAACATTTACAGCTAATCAAGCACAGGTAATTACATCATTATCTTGAGTTCAGAATTAAATTCCATTTACTCCACACGTGAGTCATTAAATAGATAGCAGTCCCCTGGCAAAATGCCTCACCATCAGTCACTCCTGGGAATCCTTCTCTTTCAGTGCCATCTCAGAGCGGGCGACGCTTCTCATTGCCCTCTGCATGAGCCAGGTGGTTAAATGGATGCCGAGGAAGGACCCCTGCAGCCACCCACAGCCAGTTCTTCCTCAACCAGCTCTGGGGCTTCATAGTCTCAGTCCACTATATAGCCTTGTAGGTGTTGTCCTTTCTGAAGGATGTGTACGTCACTGGACAAAAGAGAGAAAAATTAGGATACAAGATACTTGTGGTTCCCTACCATGGCAACTCAGAATGAAGGTGATCTACACAACTGAAGGATGTGTCACTTAGGAGTTACTTGAAATATGATTAGGCTGCTACAAGACCTTGACATGCCTTAGATTAGAGTGCAGAAAGAAAATGTCACATACTCCATCAAGATTGATAGGATGATAATCATAACAATAATAAAGTGCTCCAACATGCTTACCTCACTCTCCTTCACCAGCTACTTTGCCTTGGCAGGGGCTTGAGGTGGCGAAACATATGCCACAATGCCTGGTTCAGGAATATAGTCCTGTTTATTCTTGTGTACTGCAGGGTGCGACTTGACGTTGTACCAACCCCAGTGTATGAGTCCAAGGCTCGTGCCCATTACAATCAAGACTTTGTAATTATTCCAGATTGTCTGCAATCCCATGATTGAAAGGCACTTGGCTCAACTATAACCACAAGCATAAGGAACAAATGTATGTCAAGAACCATTGATTTGTTAATGCATTATAACCTGCTATTCAGTCAAACTGTAGACTTTTTAAAAAGGGTGTCATGTCCCATGCATTTCTCTTTTCTTGACAGTTTTAAATTGTTCAACTGGTCACAGTGATCAAATTGCAATATAGCACGAATAACTGTCTTGGGTGGGTTAGACTTCTCATTTGAGTCATTTGAGCACAAGGCTATTCTCTGCCCTAGCATAGCTAGCTAGCTAAGTTATGTACAGCTTTTGCTAGTGAAACAGCTGACTTTATGATACATTCAGAGATTAATAATTAATAATGCTTAATACATACAATGACACACATTTTCCATGTTGTAACCTTCAGTAATGTCGTCTTTCACCAAATGTAAAAGCTCGCAGGCTAGCTGAATGTTTGGTAACTTGTGGCTAGGTTTAGCTAGCTAGCTAGTTCTCACCTTCAAGAATCAGCAGTTTCTCGTACGTCCACCATTTCTGGGTCCTCTCAATATTGTCGACTTGAAGATGCCTGAACATGAGTGTAATGTTGATAATATCAGCAAAGAGAATCCACCTCTCTTATATAAATATTAGAAAATAATATGTTTTCACTGAAAACAAATGTTCCGTTTAATATTTGAAACAAACGTTTTTACATAATGATAATTGCAGGCAATATTTTAGCCACCTAGTGGTTAAGCGCGTTGGGCCCATAGAGAATCATAGAGGCCTCTAGTGGCCAAAAGGCTATTTTTGCATGGGGCAGTACCATTGAGGGCTGCTATCATTTTAATGAAGTCAACTGGGTGCAATTTTAAGAAAGAATACCAAAAAAAGACACAACATTTTTTTAAATAACAGACGCCATAATGGCACAGATACAATGATGAGGCCTCTTTCCATCTCTATGGTTGGGCCAGTAACTGAAAGGTCACACTGGTTTATGTGAAAAATCTGTGGATGTACCCTTGAGCAAGTCACTTTACCCTATTTGCTCCTGTAAGTCGCTCTGGATAAGAGCGTCTGCTAAATGACTACAACTTTGCCAGGACGAGAAACTGTTTTCCTGCGTTTTCAAAATGTCATGTTGAAGTGGTAAGCAGAAGCTATGTGCTTATTAAGCTAAATGAATGTTCATTTGGCTGGTTAAATGTTGACAATTCATTATTGTTACATTAATAAACACGTCTCTCTGAAGCGCTCTAAAATCGATTAGAGGTTTGGGCCAGCAGAGGGAGCGGTCTGCCTATGTAATTCTTGCCTCTCTCTCTCTCTCTCTCTCTCTCTCTCTCTCTCTCTCTCTCTCTCTCTCTCTCTCTCTCTATCTCTCTCTCTCTCTCTCTCTCTCTCTCTCTTCCTCTCTGTCTCTCTCAACCCAGATTTCAGCAAAACAAAATAAAAAATTGTAAAAATATTTGTGGAGGCAGGCATGTAAAATAAGCTAACATGGTTAATTGGCCTATTCAACAATGTCAACAGACTACACACTGCATGGAAACTAAAAAGCAAGTGGAATCCAGAACCAGTTGTTTTCTGTCTACTACTATACAGTTTGGCCAAAATGGACAAGTATGAACACAAAATGTAGTCTAAAGAGAAGGGGTGTAGCTATACAGAATATACTGTATATAGAGCTGCATTGAGGTCACCCGTCATTGGACTGGAATGTAGAAGGCTCAAGGCCTGGAAGGTGATGAGGAGCAGCGTCATGGCCTGTCTGTGCAGCACAACAGTTGGACAGTAACACTCTTGTGACACGGGGTAGAAAGATAAGGTTTGGTGGTGGCTCGAACCGCAGATGATGCAGACCAGATACTGACAGAGGATTAGTGTGGAATGAATGAGGAGGCATCTGCTATAGCCTGAACTTGGCCGAGGATGAGTGAAGAGTAGAAGCAGTTACTCGAAGTGGACGACTCCCCCATTCTTTTTAGATCAGATTCAAGATTACAGACTCACAGAATTGTTTTGATTATTTTTCTCTGACTGGGACAGTTGGAAACGGTTCAATACAGTTGAAGTCGGAAGTTTACATACACTTAGGTTGGAGTCATTAAAACTCGTTTTTCAACCACTCCACACATTTCTTGTTAACAAACTATAGTTTTGGCAAGTCGGTTAGGACATCTACTTTGTGCATGACACAAGTAATTTTTCCAACAATTGTTTACAGACCGATTATTTCACTTAGAATTCACTGTATCACAATTCCAGTGGGTCAGAAGTTTACATACACTAAGTTGACTGTGCCTTTAAACAGCTTGGAAAATTCCAGAAAATGATGTCATGGCTTTAGAAGCTTCTGATAGGCTAATTGACATCATTTGAGTCAATTGGAGGTGTACCTGTGGATGTATTTCAAGGCCTACCTTCAAACCCAGTGCCTCTTTGCTTGACATCATGGAAAAATCTAAACGAAATCAGCCAAGACCTCAGAAAGAAAGTTGTAGACCTCCACAAGTCTGGTTCATTCTTGGGAGCAATTTCCAAACACCTGAAGGTACCACGTTAATCTGTACAAACAATAGTACGCAAGTATAAACACCATGGGACCACGCAGCCGTCATACCGCTCAGGAAGGAGACGCGTTCTGTCTCCTAAAGATTAACATACTTTGGTGCGAAAAGTGCAAATCAATCCCAGAACAACAGCAAAGGACCTTGTGAAAATGCTGGAGGAAACAGGTACAAAAGTATCTATATCCACAGTAAAACGAGTCCTATATCGACATAACCTGAAAGGCCGCTCAGCAAGGAAGAAGCCACTGCTCCAAAACCGCCATAAAAAAGCCAGACTACGGTTTGCAATTGCACATGGGGACAAAGATCGTACTTTTTGGAGAAATGTCCTCTGGTCTGATGAAACAAAAATAGAACTGTTTGGCCATAATGACCATCGTTATGTTTGGAGGAAAAAGGGAAGGCTTGCAAGCCAAAGAACACCATCCCAACCGTGAAGCACAGGGGGTGGCAGCATCATGCTGTGGGGGTGCTTTGCTGCAGGAGGGACTGGTGCACTTCACAAAATAGATGGCATCATGAGGAAGGAAAATGATGTGGATATATTGAAGCAACATCTCAAGACATCAGTCAGGAAGTTAAAGCTTGGTCGCAAATGGGTCTTCCAAATGGACAATGACACCAAGCATACTTCCAAAG